ATCAAGATAGCTCAAAGATGGAAAATTTACTTATGCTCTTTTATTCTGTTATGCAAGTCTAGAAGTAAAGTAAATTGATGAATTCGCTCACATATCTCTTGGCCTGGTAGGGGCCAATGCTGTTGAAGATCATGTCAAGTGAACGTGGAAGCAGTCCACCTTGACCCGGTGAGCCAGTCATTGTATGAGTTTTACCACTTCCGGTGACACCGTAGGTGAACAACAGGCCTAGTTTAAAAAGAAAACTGCAGTCAGTCTTACCACAGACCAAGCTTAAACCTAGTTCCAGACTAAAAGGCATGTTTGAGCCATTTTAACTGAAAGCACCTTGCACTGGCATCTCTTAAAATAGGTCTCAAGATGCACACCAGTAATTTTTTTTGTTTATGTTTTTGTATTTTGTAATTGTTTATGAAAGCTACTTAAATGCCCTAATTAAAGTAAGGCCTAATCCAGATTAATCTAAACCCTGTCTGTGAAACCAAGCCATAGTGTTTTTAAAGAAAATGTGTCCAGAAGAGCATATTTACCATTTTTACAGTGAATAAGGTCTTCCACCAGAGGTTTAGCAACATCTTCAAATAATTCCCTCTGTGTGGTTTTAATTCCAAACACTTTTTTGAAGGAATATTGTGTCTGAAACAGAAATGATTAGTTAACTACAGTAGTCCAACAAAGCCTGACTAGCACCATAAGACTCAAAAGAATATTTCTGTTCCATGCAACAACAAAAAAGTTTTTCAAATGAGAGAAAGCAGTTCATTAAGAGTCAAAAGAATTGAAAAAGCACACAAGTTGTACGGACCACATTTACGGTGCTTTTACTGTCATTTTACAAGCTTGACAAACCTAGTACTCCATTTTTATTATATAGAAATATTTAACCATTACGTGCATCAAAAATCCCTTTGTATTGCACAGAAGAAAACGTCATACAGTATTAGAGAGACATCAGAATAAGGGTGAACTGATCCTAATTCACAAAAAGATCAGATACAATTTTTAAATAATTCTTGAGGGCACTCACCTCTTTGAATTCACCATTCCTATTGGCTTTGAGCCCATCAGGGGCATGTAACTGAATGGTGGTGTTGCTTATAACCTCAATACAGCATTCCTCATCATCTGCACCTAGTGGGCGCGCGCGACAATACACCTGCCAACACACACATCGCAGATTAATACGTTTATCGTGATTTTGATTATCTTAATGTGAGCAACAAGTTACAACATACTCCAACAGGGTCCTTCTGGTTGTTGGAAGTCTTTTTTGGAGGAGGGCGGCGGGGGGTCTTGCCCTTCCTGTTACAAAAGCAAAAATGCAGACGTCATTTAGTCAGCAAATAACTTAAGTTCAAGCAGAAGGAGTCTGGCTTAGGTTGAAAGACTCCTAACCGGCTATACAGGATCTTTATAGCGAGTTACCAGCTAACGTCACTAGCAGCTACTGATTTTAACGTGAAACACTAAGTTGGTTAGCGTAAGTTACACGTTGGTAATAATGTGGTCAACAAATAGTCAGCCTACTAAAATAAATAGAAAACATGAGAAATTATGCGGGATTATAAACTGATCTAAAGTACAAACAGTGGTAATAACGCTAAATAAACTCAACGAGCCGTGAGCGAGTTACACTAGCAGCCAAGTTAGCTGACCTAACGTCTTTCTTGTGAGACCTTAAACTCAGTTATTTGGAAATAAACAGAAATTTAATAATTCGCTATCAGTTTAATATAACTTTAGTACAAAATATGAATAAGACACTTACGCTTGCCTAATCATGTTGAGGTGTTTTAGTTCAATTCTGCGCCGCCGTTGCCTTGTTCTTGTCCGTATACAACATTCGAAGTTCAAACGTTCCCTCTCCTGCGTCAGAAACTGATTTTTCAAATGTGACCAATCAGCGAGCTCAGACGCGCCTCAGAAAAGCGGATGTCCCGCCTTAAGCCCCACCGCTCTCCCGTTGACAATATCCGGTTTTATCCAGAATCTAATAAACAAGGGGTGGTCTAGGATTAACTGTAACAAAAGATATAGCGGAGAGACAAGAGTTAAATTTTTCCCCCAAACTTAAAAAAACTCAAAACATCTTTAATAACTGGCTACAAAGAGACTTGACTATGATAGGCAGAGTCCTATTAACCAAAGCAGAAGGGGTATCTAGATTTGTTTATCCGGCTTTATCTCTTTCTGTTCAAGACTCGATTTGTAAGAAAATAAATGACTTATTTACTAAATTTGTTTGGAAGAATAAACATCATCATTTGAGAAAGGAGATTCTTCATGGTCCAAGAAATGAAGGTGGTTTTGAACTTCTGGATTTTTTCGATTTAAATTATACCTTTAAAGTCAAATGGCTCAGAAACTGTCTTCTTAAATCAGACTCGATATGGTTCTTTATTCCATATAATATTTTTAAAAAGATTGGAGGTTTAAACTTTTTGTTATTATGTGATTACTCCATCAGTAAATTGCCTGTGACATTATCCAATTTCTATCAACAAGCTCTCAAGGCCTGGAAGTTATGTTATGTACATAACTTTTCCCCACATAAAGCAATCTTGTGGAATAATGCTTATATTACAGTAAATCGGAAATCTCTTTATTTACAGAGTTGGAAAGACAAAGGAATTTACCTTTTGTCTGACCTTTTAGATCAGTCAGCTCAGTTTCTTTCATATGAAAGTTTTATGAATAAGTGGGCATTTCCTATTAAATATAGAGAATATTATTCTGTGATAAAAGCCATTCCCACAGGTCTAATGATGTTAATGAGAAGCCATATGTTATCCCTTAACATATGTAGAAGTGATCCTGTACTTTATTTAAATGGTGTAGACCTTAATAGTAAAAAGTGCTCCAATAAATTTATTAGAAATATATTTTATAAAAATAGGTCTTTTCAGCCTAGAGGGAAATTTTTCTGGAATATTTGCTTCCCAGAGATTATCTGGAAAAAAGCTTGGTTGCTTCCATTTCGGTTTTGCATACCTAACAAATATAGAGAAATACACTTAAAAATACTTCATAACATTTATGTTAGTAATTACACTTTATCAAAATTTATGGAGATTGATGAGAATTGTTCATTTTGTCTGAATCAGCCAGAAAAAACTCTACATCTTTTTTTTGAATGTCATCATTCAAAAAAATTTTGGGAAAATTTAACTATATATTTTCAACGGAAATCAGGTCATAATTGTGTATTAACACCCAAAGATGTTATCATATATTTTGAGTCAAAAACTACATCTGTAAATTTTATGATTAATCTTATGATTTTATTAGGTAAATTTCACATTCATAAGTGTAAATTTAATAATTCTAAGCCTTGTTTGAAGGTTTTTTTGGCTGATTTTATGTTGTATATTGAGTCTCTTAAATGTATAGATAATAAGAAATGCACTGATACAATTGTATTTGCCAAAGAATTGAAGATAATTGAACAGTGAAGAATTATATGATGTTTCTCATTTTCTTCAATACTGATTACTGGTTTGTAATTTTCTCATAGCTATTATATTATACACATAGTTAAACTTAGCCCCTTTATTTAAATTTTATTTTTTATATTTTTCTTTCTTTTTTCTTTATACTTTAGTTTAGTCTCTTACTTATTTATGTTAAACTAATTTTGGAAAATCTTGGATTGTTGTCTTTTTGGATGTCATGTTATTGTTTGTATGTTATGTCTAATGTCTAATAAAAAAAAAAAAAAAAAAAAAAAAAAAAAAAAAAAAAAAAACAAGGGGTGGAAATCAAGTGGAAATGGTATTAGTTTGAAAGTCAAAAGTTATTAGAAAGGGTGTTTTATTGATGATTTTGTATTAGTGTATTGCGTGAATGTTTAATTGTGATGGTAAACTGCAAATGTGGAAACTTATTTTAGCTTTGTATTTATAGTATGCAATGCCAATGTATCCTGTCACTAGAAGTGAAGTTTGTGCTTTTACTTCAAGGACCGCAATGGAAACACGTTTTTAACTTTATTGTGCTATCCTTGACAAATTAGTGTGTTTCACAACTTTTTTTGTCTTAATAAAATCAAATCAAACACGAGTACCTTTTCTGCCTAAAAACAACTAATATCTGCGTGTATTGAACAAATAATATGTATAAATAATATCAATATGAAAATATGAAACGGTATAATATGATATATAGTATATAATAAACTATTTAGGAAAAACTACAAATATACAAAAACAAAACAAAAAATGTTTGTTTGTTAAGTGTTTAACACCATGTTAACATCAGGGCTATTTACATGGCAAACACAAGGTCAATATCACAATCCATACAATTTTTATTATTATATAAAACAGTTCAAGACATAAGATAGACATTGACATAAGATAGAAAATCTTAAATACATTTGGGTGATCCATTCTGAAATATTCCATTTAAACATGTTTCTGCATAAAAGCGTTTTCTTTAAGTATCATAAAAATTACAGTCCAGCAAAATATGTTTTACAATCAAAGTAACTTGACACGAGAGACATAAAAGGAGGAACTTCACCTATCAATAGAAACTCATTGCAAGTCTTGAGTAACCCAGTCAGCACCTAGTGAAGATGACTTGATCATGTCTTGATTTTAAGTTATGGAAGACACTTCTTTTTATACTGGGGTTTATTTCATAGTTTATTATTTTTATATTCGTCCCATTCCTTCTGCCACTTTTTAGTGATGTACAAGCTAATTAATGGTCTGAAGTCAGGTGGTAAAGTTTATCAGTTTTATTTAGTAAAAATATAAAACGTTACATATTAACAAGATTTTTTTTATAAGTAAGATCTATTTTTACAGTGTTCAAAAGGGCTGATTATAAAAATGCACTTGTATATAAATGATGATAATAAGTCTGACTAACATGCTTCAAAAAATATGTAAATATGCTTTGAAATTTTAAAGAAAAAAAAATACTACAAAAACATTGATCAAACATACAACCTAATCATAAATTATACAGTTTTATACTCCAGATTACCGTAAATAAAATCTTCTCAGGCTGTTCATTACATTGCTTTTTTTGAACAGTCAGACAATATATAAATATATTTTACTCAGTTTTAGGGAAACTAACATGGCTGCCCGGAGTAACCTTATCAAATGTCACATTTCAAACTAACTTCTTCACACCTCTGGTGGAGAAAAGTGCCAGACTAAAAACATATATTATACAAAGCCCGCTGACCACACTAAAGATTGCAGCTCCCGCAGTGTTTGAAAGGGTGATCGGTGGCAAATGAGCATGAAGCCACTGCTTCCGTGCAGCCATGTCCAGTTCATTAGCAGTCATCTGGAAATACGTGCCAATAATAGCGAACACGTGGAAGAGCTGATGACTGTGACCTGTGAAGGACACATCAAAAAAACAAAGTTTATAATTAGTAGAGTTTACTGTTGTGTAATCTGAATTTACGATGCTTAGTTTAAAGGAAATCTAAGGATCTGTTATTGTACCTATGTAGTCAAAACTACCAGGAGCCAACCGTTCAGGCAGGTGTGTGGCAAAAAGAAAGCCAGTGAAGAGAGCCAATGACGTGTGCTGATAGTGAACCGTGTTGGCCTCATTAACAGTGCAACCCTCACCAGCACACACAAAGATCTACAAAAGGAGGCCAAAAGTCCAAACAAAGGTTCTTTACATAAATTAATTTTGTTCAATTTCCCAATCAATACAAATACAGCCAAAACAAAAAGTTAAGTTGTTCCACAAAAAAAAAAAAAACAGAATAGAAAAAGACTCAAAACACTTACTCTATAAAAGAGAGGGATGTTGTCGAAGAGATATGGATAAAGGAAGGCGATTATCCTTAGACGTTTACAGCGCTTCTGATCTTTTCCCCCAGAATACCTAAAAGAGAATAATAATTGCTTATTTACTGAAAATTATTTGTTTTACAATCAAATATGCCAAGGTAAGAATGCAAAAGAGGAACTACCTTTTAATGCTGTGATAATTATACTGAAAAAATGGTAGACCAAGTCTTAAAACAAAAGAAATAAAATGTTTAGTCTTGACTTTTTAGCACAATATATACTTTCAGGAAAATGTATATTTGCAAAACGTAAATTCACAAAGCAGGTTTGAAATATTTCCATTTTTACTGGAATTATAGGTTTTATTGATTCCTTATCCTACCTTGAGTAGCAGGCCAGTGCAGTAGAGATCACAGAGTTGACAACAGCTATAGGAACATAATATTCATGAAATGTGCTATTAACCCATTTATCTGGAAATGAGTAAGAAGAGTAGGTGATGGCAGAACCTGTTGATGAAAAAAAAAGAAAAAGGAAAATTAAAAATTAAACTGCATTTTACTCAATAGTTCTGTTGTATTTTCTACATACCAAGGCTGTAGAAGCTGAGTGCTCCATAATCAAAGAAGAAGCAGATGTGCCTGGCCCGTTCTGACATGGTACTGAAGGTATGAGCACAGCTGGAAGCGAGTGGGTACACACAACATGACAGCAGGAACACCAGCAAGGGCCAGGTATACGAATCCTGCCAGTCATTCTGCACCAGCACTACCGTCAGCAGTTTCCATAAGAAAAACCTTGCATAACAAAAACATCCATTACTTGACAATCTAAAATCGCAAGCATGCATCAAAGACGTGGTGTAGCAGTAGACTGAATGCTCTTGCAATAAAAAAGGCTAAACGCCTTGGATTTAAATAGGCAAATGGTTAGGAGTCAATGATTGGATCATTATTGCAGTGATTATTATGTTTCTAGCATGTTTTACATTTGGAAACAGTTCCTAACACTAACTGATTGTGTTGTTTTTCATTTCTGAAACAACCATGTAGGAAGACACATCATGGCCAGATCTTGACCAAAAATGTATGCACCTTTTGATTGAAATATGTCATTTCCATCAAGAGCAACATAAATGTTTGGTAAGATCTTGTATTGACAATGCAAGAGTAGAGCACTCTGTAAAGTCTCCTCCAGCACTTCCCAAAGACTTTCAATGAATTTACATAACATAACACTGCAATAATGATTCAGTCATTGACTCTTAACCATTTGCAAATGTTTGCTTATTTTTTAAGCATAAACATTTGCATTTTATATCTATATATATATATATATATATAAAATGCAAATAGTTTAAACTTTAAATTATAAATTAATGTGGCATCTTACAGTTGATCTTACAGGAAAGTTCTCAATTTTAACATAAGCAAATGTAAACATATACTAAACGATGAATGCTGAAACTGAATTTACCATGTAGGCAGAAAATGAGTCCAAATATTGAGTGTTTCATTTGTTAGTTGGAAAAGACTAAGCACACACTCCTTGGCAGAGCTGCATGGGTGGCGATACCCTGAAATGATGCCATCCTCATGGAAGACCTATAATGAAACATATATTTATTAACTGAAATTTGAATTTATCAAGTTAATATATCTGCTTTATGACTGACATGATAAAGTGTCAACTCAACCAGTGTACAACAAATTCAACAGTGCTAAACAATGATATTTCTTGCAAAGTAACATCAGCACTGAAAAACTTACTTTTGGAACTTGGTTGATGGTGAACACTTGAGGTAGCTTGATGAGATTGAGCATAGTAGAGGAAGGCTCCAGCAATTACAAGATGGAGAGACCAGCTGCCATCTACAGAGCTTCTTCTTGATTCCCTGTGATTGCTGATTAGAAGTCTTCTCTTTAGTGTTCCCCTCGATTATAGTATCTCACAGTCCAGTCCCCATCTCAGGATGTTTCTATAATACCTCCCTAAGTGCACCAATGGGGGTAAATAGTTTCAAGATGATGTTTTGAATCTATAAGTCTTTCATACATAAAGCAGTTATCCGGAAAAGCACATCAAAACAACACGTATTAAAATGTAAAAATGTGTTCCTGTCAAACCAATCACTTGTGTTTTAGGATAGAGAGACTAACTAAAAGTCTACGATAGCCTTTTACAAATCTGTTATGAGCAGCAGTTCAATAGAGATCAAACTCTAGTCATAAACATTGTGGCTGCAAATTTACCTCCCTGAATAAACACAAATTTAATCATTAAACCCCTATTATTCTCATATTTATACTGCTACCTGAAAATCACCATACCGCAAGTACAAAAAGGTAGTAGATCATTAACTTAAAGACTGGAAAGGGGAGCTGGGGCGAAAAAAAATCACTTGTCTTTGCCCTTTAAATGTACAGTAACACTTTTTTTGTTAGGTAGTAAAAAATAATATGACTGGTCTATCAGATCTCATATTTTGGGAATATATAGCCTAGCATACACAAATACAAGGGTCCTAAATCTTTATTGTAACAACAATCACTAAAATACTTGGAAAGATTGTAGTAAAATGTAACTCATCTGCATTGTGCAGTATCATTAATAAATGGTAAACAACGAGGTACATTTTTTGCATTTGACAACAATAGACTTGACACAAAAAAGTCAAGGCACACAGGCTCACCTGAGGGGAACTATAATCCAAAATCCAACTATAAGCATATATAATTACAAGGTGGAAGTAGATTTCTGATTTCAAATATTTATTTTGATTGTTGATTTGATAAGTGTATACATCAAAAATGTGAGGACACTAGTTTAATCCATAACATCACATCAAATCTGATTTCAGTGAAGCTCATCGCTCATAATGAACAACACGTGGCGCGAGTTCACACTGAAAATGCCAGGCAAAATTATTCTTGAATTAATTATTTGCCCTACAAAGCTGTTGTAAAATATAAGGACTGCAAAGGAATTAGGTACTTACATATTATAAAGAAAAAACCTCACGTTTTATTTCTGAAAAGACAGTAGCTTTCACCAATAAACGCAGCTCAATTCTGTTCTTTGTCACACTTACCGTCAGATGTAGATGTGTTTTCGACGTTCAGTGTGAGAACTGAATAAACAACAAACCGTGAATGTTTGATCTTTTCCCCCTCCTGACAATGAGTAGCGAGTGGGAGGACAACATGCCTTTCTTTGTTTTCGTTGTCAGCTGTAGGTCCATGGGCTTCTGTGATTGGCCAACACACACGCCCTGAACTCGCCGTATCCAAGACGCTAAAATCAAATCTCCCACTGCAAGCACAACGCAACGCCCACCGAAGTGATCTAGATCTGTGCCTTTTTTCTTCTTTTTTTTTTAAATTGATGTCAAATTTTATTTATTTATTTATTTGTTTGTTTGTTAATGTAATTTATTTATTTTTCATGTCCCAAAAATCGCAAGCCTCATATAAAAAATTAATGGAAATGTATATTTATATTTTTGTATTAACTTGTTTCTATATTATAGTTATATAGTATTATATATCAAGCTTATATGTTATTTGGTTTGAACATAGACTGCGATCAGTTTAAAGGGATAGTTCACCCAAAAAGGAAAATTCTGTCATCATTTACTCACCCTCAAGTTGTTCCAAACCTGTATGAGTTATCCTGTTGAACACAAAAGAAGATATTTTAAAGAATGTTAATAATCAAACAGTTGTCGGCACCCATTGACTTCCATATTCTTTTTTCCTACTATGGAAGTCAGTGGGTACCGTCAACTGTTTGATTACCAACATTCTTTAAAATATCTTCTTTTGTGTTCAACAACAGAAGAAAGAACTCATACAGGTTTGGAACGACTTGAGGGTGAGTAAATGATGACAGAATCACTAATCAATTAACAAGTTTCCGGGCAATATTTTTGTTACCTAAATAGCAAAGGTGCAATGTTTTTATGATTTTTCTAGTGCTGTAAATTTGAATATCTTTAAAAATAGATAATTTAATAGAAATATAATCATAAAAATTAATGTAGATGATTTACTCAGGCCTATGAATACTTTCCAATATTTGGCGCCATCTAGTGGATAAATTCTGTATCGCGCTCAACGATTACAAAACATTCGGTTTATACGTCACTGAATGTAGTCAAAATGCGTGTCTGTGCACGTGTAGCGGTGTTGATCTGCGAGGGCTTGCCAGTGTAATGCAGAAAGCTTTACATTTGCAGGTAAGGAAGAAAGTGCATTATTCTTGTTGTTCGGGTCGTATCTACGATTTAACTTTATGTGTAACGCATAATTGACATGCAATGTCTTTGTTGACCCTTTTCACAATCACAAGTAGAAAGTAGACTTGAAATGGCGCGAGGAAGGGCTCAGACAGACTCAACTGCTTCGAAGCAGACGAAGAACGTCAAGAAAAGACCGAATGAAGAACCTCCTCAAACACTCTCCAAAAAGCTAAAAGCCAAACAGAAAGGCAAGACGGCACCAAAAGCTGGTGAGGAAAGCTATGAGTTTTGTCTTGCAATGGCATAGTTTGTTTTAAATATACAAAAAGTTTAATTTAATGGCTTGAGGGCCAACATAAAACATTTTTTTTTTCAAAACTAACCAGTCACCAATCTAGATTTGCTGGTGAACTAAACTGGATTTGTGTAATGTTACAGACACCTACATACAAGCAAGTGTGAAATGGACTGGAGGTCAAAAGAAAGTTGGCCAAACAAGTATCCTTCACTACATTTACAAAAGCACCTTGGGACAGAGCATCCATTCTCAACTGCGCCAGGTGATGACAAGCATATATAATGCATATATATAAAGTATATGGTGATATGTATAATATGTATTATTATGGTGTGGCCTTTACACTCTGCACTTTATAAAAAACTAGTGCAAGAAGTCAACAACAACAATATTACAGTACTATGTACTACTCTCCCTTGTGTTATAGTGTCTGCAAGAGCCTTTCATACGCTCTCTTGGAGCCTACCAACTCCACCGCACAGCCAGCCCCTTCGACCGGAGAGTCACTTGTCTGGAATGGCATCCCACCCATCCCACCACTGTTGCAGTGGGCTCCAAAGGTGGAGACATCATCCTCTGGGATTACGATGTGCTGAATAAGAGAACTTTCATACAGGGGGTGAGATGAAGCTGGATTGTGAAGTGAAGAATATAATGTTCAAAGTGAAGACAAAAAGTACTTTCTAGAGTTATAGCACCATTTGTTTGCAGATACAACTTGGTTTGCTATTTATCTTATCCAATTAGATTCATACATTAAGTTTCACTTAAAGGGATAGTTCAACCAAAAATGAAAAATCTTTTATTAATTACTCACCCTCATGTCTTTCCAAACCCGTAAGACTTCCGTTCATCTTTGGAACACAAATGAAGATCTTTTTAATGAAATCTGTGAGTTTTTTTCCCTCCATAGACGGCCACACAACTGACACTTTGAAACTTCAAAACGTTTACAAAGAGATCGTAAAACTAATCCTTATGAATTGAGCGGTTTAGTCCAAATTTTCTGAAGAGACTTGATTTATATAACGAACTTTATATAACGATCAGATTTAATTTAGGCTTTTATTCACATATAAACATTGATCAGTGAACATAAACGGAAGCTTAACTGAACCTGCTTGACGCGCGAGAAGAAACCTCTTGCTGAAGCTCAAACGTGCTGCGTAACACGAGAATGAACCTCATTGGTTCTCGCACGTCGAGCCGGGAACAACTGATGTGTGAGCTGATGAATGACAGATTTTTAATTTTGGGGTGAACTAACCCTTTAAGTGTCCAAATACTTTTGCGGTCCCAGTGAAATCAAATTATTGTGAAATTCACAATGTATTGTACATATAAATGGTTAAATAACTTAAAATTAAAAATGTAAACATTAATGTGTAAATAGTTAAATAGTGGACTATAAATTATTGAAAGTCTTGATTAAGAATACGGTAAAAGTTAAGTTCAGCATTTTCATTTTTGAACAGATTACAGATGCAGTTTTGGTGACTGCTGAGATTTTCTCCTCTGTTCTTTATCCTAGATGGGTCCCGGAGATGCAATAACAGGCATGAAGTTTAACCAATTCAATACCAATCAGCTGTTCACCTCATCTATTTGGGGTGCGACCACCCTTCGGGATATCAGTGGATCGGTTATACAAGTCTTTGCCAAAACAGATTCATGGGAGTAAGATCCTTTATTAGCACTTGTGGCTGTTCTCCCATTTGCTTCCAAAGAAACATAGACCACACAGAGATTTACAGTACTTGAAACTTGCACTTTTCTTGATTTGAGGCTTGAGCTTATACTTTGTCCTGTTGATGGACACTTCTGTTCATTCAAGTGTGCGACATTAGTTATCGGTATTTCATTCAGTTGACTCTTAAACATGCTTGTGCTTGAAGTTTCACACAGTTACAGTGAATATATAAAATTCAGTTCCATAGATAAAGTGGGAATTTAATGTATTTGTGTATTTTTTTGGTCGTCTGATTGGTATGAAGTTGGATAAACCCTGTGATAGATCAGAGGATGAAATCATTTGATAATTTTTTTCCAGATAGTTATGATCTAAATGACAGTATACCATGTTAAAGGGTTAGTTCACTCAAAAATGAAAATTCTGTCAGTAATTACTCTGTTTTTACTAACTTTTCTGGGCCGGCAAGTTTCAATAACATAGAAGCCTATGGAGGAGTGAGACAGCCCTCAGATTTAATCAAAAATATCTTAATTTGTGTTCCGAAGATGAACGAAAGTCTTACGGGGTTGGAACAACATGAGGGTGAGTAATTACTGACAGAATTTTCATTTTTGGGTGAACTAATGTCTCGAACATTTATTAAGTTGCTTTAGGCCATTTAAGAGTAATCTATTTAGTCAATCACGTTGTCATTTATAATTTGTAGTATGTATATTTGAATCGTAGCATGTTATTGGTGAACATAAAGAACATTATTTGTCTTCACCTTCCTCATGTTGTTGTGCTGGTTTAGTTGCTTATATTTTCAACCCATAGTCCTCCCTGAGCATTGAGTCCTCCCTCGTCATGGCCATACTTGGTTTTGGCAGTTGTATCTAGATCTTACAAGCTTGTGTTTATCTATTGTATCCATGCAGAAGGGAGCTGGTGACTTTATTGGGGGGATGAAGTTCTGCCCCACAGATGTGTCCAAAATCTTTGTCGCTTCTGGTGATGGCACAATCAGCGTGCAGAGTTTTGAGGGCTCCCAAAGTCAGATATTGTCTCGAACCCCAGACTGTGGCCATGAGCACCATGATCTTTGGTGAGGACAGTGCTTGTTTGAATTGTTGGGAAATCAAAAATATTTTTAGGTGATGTTTATATCTATTTCATTTTTATGTTTAGTATTCCATATTGCTGTAAGAACAACTGCCCTTAAACATGCAGTATAGATCGGTTGTTGATTTGTCTGCAATTTCAGTCAGTTTTAAGGTTTGGGTTGAATATCCTTAACAACTCCCCTCCCACTGTCAGTCTTCTATGAGCGAGGGATAGAGAGGAGGTGTAAAACCCCGCCCTCTATTCAAGAACACTGAAGTAAAGTCGGTTGCAACTTCTGGTTCACAGGGGACTTTAAAAACCATCCATTCCACTGTCATATATTATTAGGTATAAATTGGATATTACATGAAGATGTACATGTGTATATGGTTTTAATGCCAGAAATGTAAATCTCCCAGTTACTGGTACTGCTGTGTGGACGTGTCTGTTAGCCGTCAGATGATTGCCACTGGGGACAATACTGGAAGACTTCTCCTGCTTGGTCTGGATGGACAAGAAGTAAGTGGGGGAAATATCTAAATCAATTCTCATTGCCAAAATCAAGAATAAAGCTGTCTGATATACATATTTTTGTAAACGTATTAAGATTTTCAAAGAGAAGCTGCACAAAGCCAAAGTGACCCATGCAGAATTTAACCCTCGTTGTGACTGGCTGATGGCAACGTCCTCTGTTGATGCTACGGTCAAGCTGTGGGACCTCCGAAATATGAAAGACAAAAGCAGTTATATCGCTGAAATGCCTCATGAGAAACCTGTCAATTCTGGTAAGAGACCAAACGATCAGAAAAGCGAGGAGGGGAACAAGTAATAAATAAAAAAAGCCTCTCAACTGTATAATAGGTTTAAATGCCAAAAAAATTAAATGAATGTTCTTTTTTTTTTCAGCATACTTTAATCCGACAGACAGCACCAAGCTCCTTACTACAGACCAGAGGAACCAGATCAGGGTATATTGCTCATATGACTGGTCTAAACCTGATCAAATAATTCTTCATCCTCATCGGCAGTTCCAGCACTTAACGCCCATCAAGGTCTAAAGTTCCTTAAGTCTAAACTGCATGTTTTAACTGTTTGCCTTTTTCCAAATAGTTTGTTGTAATCAAGTTTATAGGCATCTTAGTGGTGTCATAGTTTCATTTAGGTCTTTTTTTCTCTCTCAGGCAACCTGGCATCCCATGTATGACCTCATCATTGCTGGCCGTTATCCAGATGATCAAGTATTAGTCAATGACAAGAGAACTATTGACTTTTATGATGCCAACAGTGGTGATCTTGTGCACCAGCTGAGAGACCCCAATGCTGCTGGTATCATATCTGTAAGCATGTTTTGGGTTTTCCTTTTAAATATTTTACAATATTTAACATCATAATGTTAATTAAGATTTTAAAAAATATATATACAATCGTTCAACCATTTAGGGTAAGTAAGACTTTTTTTTTCTTTTTTCTTTTTTTTTTAGAAATTAATACTTTTATTCAGCGAGGAAACATTAAATTGATCAAAAGTGACCGTAAAGACATTTGTAATATCACACAAGATTTCTTTTTCAAATAAATGCTCTTCGTTTGAACTTTTTATTCATAAAATAATCCTGAAAAAAAATCACCATCTCAACAAACATATTTAGCAACAGAACTGTTTTCAACATTCATGACAAAATGTTTCTTGAGCTCCAAATCAGCATGAGAAAGCTTTCTAAAGGATCATGTGACACTGAAGACTGGAAAAATTATGCTGAAAGTTCAGCTTTGCCATCAGTAATAAATTACATTTTAAAATATATAAAAATAGAAAATGGTTATTTTAAGTTTAAAAAAAAGACTCTTTTACTGTATTTTTGTATAGTATTATAAATACAGTATTATAAATGCAGCCTTCTTTAACCTGTTAAGCTTCAAGCCCATTTTTGAAAAATCCCCAGATATGGCATTCCCAAACTGAAACAGATACAGTTCATGAACCCTTTGTACTAAAAGCACAAGTAAGATCTCATTTGAAAGCTGACACCTGGAAGTTTATTGTAAATGTAGAATTAATTATTGTCATAATGAAAAAAAATAGTTATAAATAGCTTCAAAGTTTTGTAAAGTTATTATACATTTATTTTTATGAAACATCTTCATGAAAATAAAATTGAAGTTGGCATTGTAGCAATCTAGAAATGCACTGCAGCTAAAGCCACATGTCTAACCATGTTATATTTAAAATCTGAAGATGATAAGTCTAAAACTCTGTATTTAGTTCAATGTTTTTCAAGATCATGTCATATGACTTTATTTTGATTAGACTGGTGTTTATTGTCATCTTATAAGCATCTATTCAGTCTATTGCCTCTATTGTTTTGTGATGCAAAAACGAGTCCCATTCAGTCTCAGGCTCCCCTGCACATATTCACACCTCTCCAGCCTGTTTATTGCTCTAAATATGCTTTTCTTTTGTCTGCATTATAATCACTAACGACTAGCAATTCACACTGTTTCAATCCCTCATTTATTTTATAAAAGTTCTCACTTCACAGTGAAACTGTATCAAATGCCCTTTTTGAAAAACGAAACATTTCAGTAAGCATTCTTATTTAGAAAAAAAATCATAAAAATTACATCGAAGTTAGGTAGCAGGTGCTCAGTACTAGCTAGCATGTTAGCTTAGCACACCCTCAATACACGACAATTTATGAGAATAAAACTATGTTTGTGCTCCAACTTACTTTATAGCGCAAGTCGAGTGTTTTAAATAACTTTCTGTAATCTGATTTGGCTTCAGATAAAAAAATCAGATAGAAAATATATTATTTTATTGTATTCTGCACAATTTGAAAGTCTATCTCGATTAGCATTACATTATACATATAATCTATTATTATGAAAATACCTGACATGACTCGAAGAACACAGGTAAATCAAATATCATTGCAATCATGTTTATTGTCTTCAAAACATCTTTATCTGCACTTTACAGCGATCTCGGATAGCTTTGTTTATGAATCACGACTTCCTGAATGTCACATGATTATGGCTCTTCTTCATGTGATCCATATATGGACTTTACTGTGCAACAGCGCCCCAGACTTCAGTATGAATGGATAACACAGTAAATCAGAGTATACAGCGCTCAAAATGATTACATCGACGCATTTGGGTATAAATTCAATAAATATTATTCCTGTCTACAGAAGTCTGATGTAAACCTATGAGAATCTATCAATATTTCTCCAAATCTGCACATGTTTGAGCTAAAAGCCCTGAGGGACGTTGTTTTGTGAATCGCTGTCATGACGATCGCACGGGAGTTTTTTTCTGAATGAGAGCAGCTGACGCTCATAATTCATATTAAAGGTAACGACTCATTTTTTTATTTCATAACTCCTGACACAAATTAAGACATAACTGTCACTATAAGTTTCACAGAATACAATAGTGGTCAAATACTGAAACTTGAGTCTTATATCGTTTTAATGATGTATAGTTTGTCAAGTTAATCACATTAAATATGATAGTAACTTTGAACTATTTAAAAAAAAAACGCTTCAGAGCGCCCACGCACTGGTGACGGTTAACAGGTTAAACAAAAATCTTACTGACCCTACACGTATGAACGGTAGTGTATATAAACACAATTGTTTAGTGATCACATCGCAGGCGCAAATATCTTAATATCTCACGTTTATTTTATTTCAGCTCAACAAGTTCAGTTCAACTGGGGATGTGCTGGCTTCTGGAATGGGTACAATATAATTTATTTTCTTATATTCATAGTAGTCAAGAGTGATACATGACTTAATTAATTTGAAAAGTGGTACACTTTAATTACAGGCTATAACATTTTAATCTGGAACCGAGAGGACACACTGAACCGTGTTAATTGGAAACAGACAGTGGAGGACAGTGGAGGCAGAGCTGGAACCTCCAGATCTCAGCGCAGTGCCCAGCGGCGCACGAATAGAGACGGAAGAGCTGCTGCTAATGATGCCAAGCTCAAGAAAAAGCTGTCATCATTGTCTTCAACAGAGACCAAGTCAAAGACCAAGAGCAAGACCGAATGCAAGACATCAAAAGTGAAGAAAAAGTAAGAAAGAACATACTGAGCTTTAAGACTAGATACAGTACTTTGTGTCTCAGGTCTCATTTGTTCTGCTCATTTCAATGAATAATTCCTGGAACAACAACAATTAAAATAAGGACTTGTTACCTTTTTGTTGGTCCTAAAATAATGTATATTCTGTTCAAAATAAACTTTTGTACTTTTACATCAAACACTTGGTTATGTGTCTTTGTGAGTGTAATAAAATATGTATTGTATTTGAAGAACCAGAAAAAATAAGCCATGTTTGGAGGTGAAGAAAATCAACAAAGATTTTTGAATTCATTACAAACTGTACTTTGATGAGTCACATAAGCCAGGTACAAATGATCAGGATGTTACGTGAATAACTGGTATGTTTATTGTTAGTTAAGACTTGCGTAGCTGAATGAAAGTAGCATTTGCAAGGCGACCAAGAATATCAGTCCAGGCCTGCTGCTCTGACTCCAGCCTCTGGTTTCGGGCCTGGTAGGCTGAATAGATCGTCCCGAGGATGAGGGTCTCAAACCGGGCCTGAGTGAAAGAGTTGTCTTGCTCTTCCAGCATAGCTAGTAACTTCTCCATTGCAGACACAGTCTTTGGAATACTGTCGTTTATAAGAGATAAGAAAGCTCGCCCTTGTCGCATAGATGCTATTTCTTGATCCCGCATGACAACATTATTGTCGCCATCAATCTCCAGTCCTCTCCATAAGAACTAGGATTTAAAAAAAGGGGGAATGTAAAATATATTAGTGCTGTCAAATTGCATCTAACATAAAAGTTTGTGTTTATAAAATATATGTGTGTATATATATATATATTGTATATACACAAAAAGGATATACAGGTCCTTCTCAAAAAATTAGCATATTGTGATAAAGTTCATTATTTTCCATAATGTAATGATAAAAATTAAACTTTCATATATTTTAGATTCATTCCACACCAACTGAAATATTTCAGGTCTTTTATTGTTTTAATACTGATGATTTTGGCATACAGCTCATGAAAACCCAAAATTCCTGTCTAAAAAAATTAGCATATTTCATCCGACCAATAAAAGAAGTCAACCTTCAAATAATTATGTTCAGTTATGCACTCAATAGTCAATACTTGGTCGGGAATCCTTTTGCAGAAATGACTGCTTCAATGCGGCGTGGCATGGAGGCAATCAGCCTGTGGCACTGCTGAGGTGTTATGGAGGCCCAGGATGCTTCGATAGCGGCCTTAAGCTCATCCAGAGTGTTGGGTCTTGCGTCTCTCAACTTTCTCTTCACAATATCCCACAGATTCTCTATGGGGTTCAGGTCAGGAGAGTTGGCAGGCCAATTGAGCACAGTAATACCATGGTCAGTAAACCATTTACCAGTGGTTTTGGCACTGTGAGCAGGTGCCAGGTCGTGCTGAAAAATGAAATCTTCATCTCCACAAAGCTTTTCAGCAGATGGAAGCATGAAGTGCTCAAATCTCCTGATAGCTAGCTGCATTGACCCTGTCCTTGATAAAACACAGTGCACCAACACCAGCAGCTGACATGGCACCCCAGACCATCACTGACTGTGGGTACTTGACACTGGACTTCAGGCATTTTGGCATTTCCTTCTCCCCAGTCTTCCTCCAGACTCTGGCACCTTGATTTCCGAATGACATGTAAAACTGAGCAACAGTCCAGTGCTGCTTCTCTGTAGCCCAGGTCAGGCGCTTCTGCCGCTGTTTCTGGTTCAAAAGTGGCTTGACCTGGGGAATGCGGCACCTGTAGCCCATTTCCTGCACACACCTGTGCACGGTGGCTCTGGATGTTTCTACTCCAGACTCAGTCCACTGCTTCCACAGGTCCCCCAAGGTCTGGAATCGGTCCTTCTCCACAATCTTCCTCAGGGTCCGGTCACCTCTTCTCGTTGTGCCACACTTTTTCCTTCCCACAGACTTCCCACTGAGGTGCCTTGATACAGCACTCTGGGAACAGCCTATTTGTTCAGAAATTTCTTTCTGTCTTACCCTCTTGCTTGAGGGTGTCAATGATGGCCTTCTGGACAGCAGTCAGGTCGGCAGTCTTACCCATGATTGCGGTTTTGAGTAATGAATCAGGCTGGGAGTTTTTAAAAGCCTCAGGAATCTTTTGCAGGTGTTTAGAGTTAATTAGTTGACTCAGATGATTAGGTTAATAGCTTGTTTAGAGACCCTTTTCATGATATGCTAATTTTTTGAGACATGAATTTTGGGTTTTCATGAGCTGTATGCCAAAATCATCAGTATTAAAACAATAAAAGACCTGAAATATTTCAGTTGGTGTGCAATGAATCTAAAATATATAAAAGTGTAATTTTTATCATTACATTATGGAAAATAATGAACTTTATCACAATATGCTAATTTTTTGAGAAGGACCTGTATATACATGTGTGTGTGTGTGTGTGTGTGTGTGTGTGTGTGTGTGTGTGTGTGTGTGTGTGTGTGTGTGTGTGTGTGTGTGTGTGTGTGTGTGTGTGTGTGTGTGTGTGTGTGTGCGCGAACACCCATATGTATGCATATATATATATATATGCATACATGAGCTCATCATCTGTATATAATTTGCGATGCAAGGGAAATATCTCAGTGCTTCTGGTTGTTCACTTTGTTCACTTAAATGAGAAACTTGACATATAGTGTTCCCCTACACTAGTACACGAGTTTTTTTCCCTTCCTCTTAATTTTTTTTTTTTTTTTTTTTTTTTTTTTACAAAAAACCCTAACATTTTACAAGCAAGTGCAATGTTTCTTGGAGCTTAGAGGATCAAATGCAAAGTTTCTTTGGGGAATGCAAAAGCATTGAAATATCAATTACATTGAAATAAAAATGTTTCCATCACCATGTCCCCTTAGGGGCACCGTAGATTTGTTTCTTCAGTATTTGTCTATGCTTGTAGTTCAATCAAGAATTTAGATTAAAATCATAGTATTTATTATTTTACAGTTTGCTATAGTGTGAGAATTTTTTTATATCTTTTTTAGAATTTTTTATTCCATGTAGTCTTCCAATACAGTGTCATAAAAACTGCATGCATAATATTTGTAGACCAATTAGAAATGTTTAAAATATTTTTAGATGAACTAATATAATTCTTCTTCTGTTAACTAATAAAGGCTATTAAACTTTATATTAACAAATGGTCATGATCACGTCAGAGTGTATTTAAGAGGAATTTTATTGTATCATTCCAGTGACATAAATCAATGTTTTAACTACAATATTGAATTCGACTAATGTATGGTGAAATTAATTGTTACTCTTGAGTGCTTTGTGGAATGTATGGCTATATTTTCTTACCTCAAACATCAGGTTAGCATCACTTACAGATCTGATAAACCCCTGAGATGCCAATCCTCCGTGCAGAACCGCAGAAACATCTGCATGACAGCACACACAGACTCACGACTTGGAAATCATTAAGCCTGAACTGTACGAAAACAAGTCTGAGCTGAATTATTATTGATCAGTGGTATGCGAGCAATGGCATGGCAAAGTTGAGCAGGCTATAATATAAAACGAAAGATTTCAAAAGTGCTCGCGGAATTTAAAGAAGGAAAATATTCGAATCTGACGTCATGATTGGCACAAATCATGTCCAGCATGCCAGACTGCCCGTGCCACATTCCCAACAGCACTGGAACAGCTAAAAAAAATATCCAGTAGCCTACTAGTACAATATCATAAGGAAAACCAAATGTGACCAAAATAAAACTGTATAGCAAAAAGATTTACTGTACATGTCGTCTCGTCAAGTTCAAAAGTCTTTACCTGAGTTATTCCAGGGCTCCCTGAAGCCAATGAGAAACAGGACAACACATACCAACAACATTGCCACAGAAATATAATTCCACTTGATTCACGCAGATTTCAGTCGTCATCCGTTGCACCACAAAAAAAGAAAAAGGATTCCTGATTTTGTCTAGTGCGTCGCATTTTTCCACCTGCGGAAAAAGACAATTTGAGCCAAACTGGGAGAGAAAGAATGTGACTACAAGAGATAGTGACTTAACTATTTCCTTTTATTGTAATTTGTAAATACTATATAGATGGTGTTATATAATTAATCTGAATTAAAAGCTAAGTTACTTGAGCATACTTTTTTAAATAAATACATTGTTTGTTTTTCGAAATGCAGTGCAATGACAGTCCTCCAACACACCGGGGCAGCAGAGAGTCACGTAAACGCGCGGTGACGTCAATACGAAGAAATATGCTGTTTACTTCCTTGGGCTGACTTTTACAAGCAGTCTTCTGGTATGGCAAAGATTTAACACATGCTAACATTTATAAATAATATTGTCTGAATGCGCATGTGCTGTCTGCAGACTTACATCTGACAAAAAAGATTCTGCTGCGTTTGATTGTGGACTCATTAGTATGGTAGAAGTTAAATAGACTCTAATCTAGATGGTTTATGTTAGCATTAGCTACATAGCTGGCCAGTGTACCATAGATGGACAAAATTTGGCTGACAAATTGCTCAGTCAAAACTAACGCTTATGTGAATACTAAGCCGGTAAGTTTCATGCTTTGAACCAGTGGAAACGTTTAAATGCAAAATCACCTATTTTCTTAATCTGTATGAAATTTTGTTTGTGTAGATTGCAAGCAGCAGATTCCTTCATAAAGAATGTTACATATGGCTTTACATCAATCTGTCAGTTATTTTAGAGCCCAGTGAGCGTTAAATCCCAAGGCAAATCCCAGCCTGCCAGTTAACAATTAAAGCTACACGAATGCCACCATCTGAGAGACAGCTGACTCAGTAAGTCATTTATCAAGTGTTCAGGTGAAGCTGCTTCAGATTTAAGGTGCCATGGAGTCTGGTGAGGATGGAGGCTACAGTGTTGGAGGTCCATCGGGGGATGAAAACTACTTCCAGGGCTACACCTTTACCGATCGCTCCCATTCCAGCCGTGTCGTGAAGAGCATCATGGACTTGTGTCTGGAGGATGGTCTGTTTGCAGATGTTATCGTCACTGTGGACAGCAAAGAGTTCCAGCTTCACCGCCTGGTGCTCTCGGCACAAAGCAGCTTCTTCAGGTCCATGTTCACCTCTAACCTTAGAGAAGCTTATGATCGTAACATTGAGCTGAAGGACGTCAGTGCACCTGTCTTCCAGTCGCTGGTGGACTACATCTACCATGGAACAATAAAACTAAGGGTTGAAGACCTGCAGGACACCTACGAAATGGCTGATATGTATCAGCTTACTGCCCTCTTTGAGGAGTGCTCTCGCTTCCTATCACGAACTGTGGTTGTTAAGAATTGCCTGCAGGTGAAACCTTCACTTTTGATTTATAGCATACACAAAAATGCTTTGATAAAGGTCAGCTGAATCAGTAGGAAACTGTCGACCGCTCTTTCTTTCAGATTATGTGGTTGGCGGACAGACACAGTGACCAGGAGTTGTATACGGCTGCCAAGCACTGTGCAAAGATTCACCTGGTTCAGCTGCACCAGACAGAGGAGTTCCTGAACATGCCTTTGTGCCTTCTCATAGACATCATTAAAGGTGAATGAATAGCGCAAACAGCAAATTGGTTTCACTTCATATGAGAGATTGTGATTATAAAGAGTCAGAGATCATGTTAATTTGTGTCTGTAATTTGCAGATGGGGTGCCAAGCTCACAAAATCCAACTGCAGCTATTGATACTTGGATAAATCACAACAAAGTCGAACGAGAGGAGTATTCTGATATGCTTCTAGACAGCCTAAAGGTTAGTGATGATTAGAAATTGGGAAGAAAAATAGACATTTCACGGTATTTTATACAGTATTTTATCTCACAATGATGTATTGATATTCAATATTCTTCAGATGAATATATATTCAGGGCTCAACTGAGTTTTATTGATTTGTAATTTTTGTGCTGGCCCATCAGGTCAGTAGTTAACATTGCTACTCACCTTCCAAAAAATTAAAAATTACACTGGCCCTAACACAAATTATAAAATTCAATTTAAATAGATTTTTTTATATTTGCATTACATTATTTTAAATGGAGATTATTTGCATGTGTAATAAATGTGTAAAATTATTATTATTATTTTAAAATAAATTCAAGTTCAAGTATAAAGCACATTTTAAAACAAATGCTGCAAATAAAACCCATATACATCTTAAACAACATCATAGGCTATGCAGAAAAAAATATGTCTTCAACCTAGATTTAAATATGGCCAGTGTGGAGGAAGACCTAATAAAAAAACAGAAGTGCATTCCACAACCTGGGGGCCGCAACTACAAACGCCCGATCACCCTTGGTTTTCAAACAGGAATGAGGAACAGAGAGAAGTAACTGATTTGAAAAAAATAAAGAGACCTAGTTACAAAAGGAGATCAGCCATGTACTGTGGGGCTAAACCGTACAGCAGAACATTACATGTAACTCTAGCTAACTGGTAGCCAAAGTAGACTGAGACAAACCCACATATAAATTATAAAGCATTCCAGTAATCCAACTGGGATGTGATGAATGCGTGAATGACTATTTCCAAGTCCTTCTGAGAGAGGAACATTTTAATTTGGCAATGGTTTGAGATGAAAAAAGCTTCCTTTAATAATGGCATTTATCTGCTGTTCAAAGTCAGAATCAAAGATGAAACCCAGTTCTTAACTTTATCATGGAAGGTTAAAGAACAGAGTACCTAATTGATTTTCAAGGTCAGTGAAACACAATGAAGGACCAAAGGCAATGGCCTCAGATTTATCCTCATTAAACTTAAGAAAATCTTCCGGCATCCATAATTTAACTTCCTCAAGAAGACAAGAGATGAGATTACTGATGGAACAACAATCCTTTGACCTGACAAGTAGGTAACGTTGTGTATCGTCAGCATAACAATAAGCTACACTGTACAGAGGAAGCATTTACAGAGGAAGGAAGCAAAAAAGCAGAGGACCCAAAATGGAGCCTTGTGGGATGCCACCTGTAATAGAGTAGAAGATGAGGAGTGGTTATCAGTACTGATAGAAAAAGTTCTGTCTTTAAGATATGAGGAAAGCCAACTTAATGCAACCCCCTGGATTGTTTATTTTTAATTTTTCTTTGCAAAGAGAATTAGTAATTATAGCTGGAAATTATGCAGTCATTGTAATCATAAAGGAAACTTTCTAAGCACTTTTGCAGGAAATTAATGGAATTTTTTTTTCACGTTTTAATACATTTTCCTATTTATGCTATCAGAAGTCATTCTTGCAATGGCCAGAAAACCTCATCTATGTTAAGCTAGATGTTTCTGACCAGTTTAAAATGTTGACATGGAGAATTCATAACAAACTGTTGCTTATTAGTATTGCATTGTTCGCATGCTCATTGTTGGCTTTGTTGCAATTTAGGAGATTGGTGAAAAAGTGCACATATACCTAATTGGGAAAGAAGACACACGCACACACTCATTGGCAGTGTCACTTCATTGTGACGAGGATGATGCCATCAGTGTGAGCGGCCAGAACAGCCTGTGTCACCAGATCACGGCTGCCTGCAAGCATGGGGCCGATCTATATGTTGTCGGGGGCTCCATACCACGTCGCATGTGGAAATGCAACATGCACACTATGGACTGGGAGCGCTGCGCCCCGCTGCCCCGGGACCGTCTCCACCACACGTTAGTGTCTGTGTCTACAGAGGATGCCATATACTCGTTGGGAGGCAAGACCCTTCAGGACACTCTCTCCAACGCTGTCATTTGCTATACAGTACAGGACAACATATGGAAAGAGACCACTCAACTAGACACAGCCGTGTCGGGTGCAGCCGGAGTCAATTTGGGAGGCACCATTTACCTTTTGGGTGGGGAGGAAAATGACATGGACTTCTTTACCAAACCGTCTCGCCTTATCCAGTGCTTCGACACAGCCACACAGAGGTGTGAAACCAAGCCCTACATGCTGCCTTTTGCCGGATGCATGCATGCCACCGCCCATAAGGACCTTATATTTGTGGTGGCAGAGGGCGACTCTCTGGTGTGCTATAACCCACTGCTGGACAGCTTCACTCGGCTGCGCTTCCCTGAAGTGTGGAGCTGCGTGCCATCTTTATGGAAAGTGGCCAGCTGCAATGGCTGCATTTATGTTTTTAGGGATAAATGCAAGAAAGGTGACGCAAACACGTTGAAATTGAACCCTGCCACGTCGGTGGTCTCAGTGATTAAGGGAATCAAAATCCTCCTAACAAACTGGCAGTTTGTTTTGGCCTGAGATGTTCTACATAATGCATAGGACCATGATAAAAATGTACTATGGTGATTTAATAGACCGCAGTCGTGTAGAAGTTGTTACTGTGATACAGTGGTACAAGCTTTATAATGTCATGTGAAGTGTTACACTGTAGGACACCGTAAAGTGTTAATGAAGGCCAAATGTTATGTGTAATGTTTGTCAGTATCTGCAGTGTCATTGGCAGTTGACCATCGTAGTTTGTCAAGCTTTAGTTTAGTATTTCATTTGGATTTCAAAAGGAATTTATATTTTAATTTCTTTTTAAACCATTAACATTCCACAACATGTTTCTAACACCACAAGAACTAATTTGTACACATCATTTACTGATTAGGAGAATACATATGCAGTGTATACAGCTGTGAATATTGGATATCATAACTACCTTAAATAAGTGATAGTGTGCAATATATGGTCTCTTTCAAATGTCTGCCAAGATACGCTGAATGTAAGGAAATGTTCTCAGATTAACCATGCAAAACATCCTCAAGGATGTTGACAAAAGTGTTTAGTACCACTGTCAAGGGGCGTTTAAATAATGTTCATAATGAAAGTTTGCCACTTATCTCTTTCTTACTATAATTTCTCAATTGTCACCTCAGATTCCCCTTTCTCAGTGGTTTATGACTGGACAGGAACTTTATATTCAGTTTCAGACTTAAGCTGGTTTGCAAAATGTATGCTACAACTGTTTATATTTTACTTTATGCAGTATATGAAAATGCAGTCCATTTTACATCTGCCAGAGACATAGCATATTCTTGTTGACCTTTTGGAGCTGGTTCAAAATATTGTTACTAAAAATGACTGAATTAACTTTTGAAAACCTGTGTTCGACTTTGTACTTTTGGTCAACTTTCCTCTTGAATTAAAAAGCAAAAATAAGTTACGCGTTTCGTTTCATGTTTCCCCCTTTGCCTAACAGTTATGATAATCCCACCCTTCATGTTGTTCCAAACCTGCATGACTTTTTCTTCTGCAGAACACAAAAGTAGATATTTTGAAGAATGTCTTTGGCTATATTCATACTGCCAGCAAAAATCCAATTTTTTGCACGTCCAGATGGGTTTTTGAAAGTCTGGACAACAAAACACATGAAATCTGTTTGAAAAACAGATGCGTCTCAGTCTGGACGCTCTGGCTGCTCAAATTGGATTTTAAACTGTCTTGCGATATTTCAAACGATAACCGATAACAGATTTCTAACAGACAGCTAGAGCTCCTGCGAGGAGGAGCGAATGTAATTTGGGCCTAATGGGTGGAGCTAGAATATCCAACCACACCCTAACCCTACCCACAACTCTATCCCTCCACCCCCTTAGAGCTCCAGAGAGGAGGAGCTGGTCGTCATTTGACTGCAGTGAGTACCACTTGTCCATTTTTCTTGCATCTCGTCACATATGTGTGTACGCCTACGTTGTTACCAAAGAAACCATGCAGATACGTTGGTTATGTCTGGACACACAACAAATCTAATTTGATCACTTGCAATTAATAGTGCAGACATTCTGCCTGAAAAGATCTGATTTGAGAAAGAAAATCAGATTTGCCTGCAGTCTGAACTTAGCCTTAGTGTTTTTGGCCATACAGAGAAAGTCAGTTGGGTCCAATGTGGTTTTGAAACATTCTTCAAAATCTATTTTGTTTCACATAAGAAAGGAAGTCATACGGGTTTGGTACAACGTGAGGTTGAGTAAATGATGACATTTTTGGGTGAACTATCTCTTTAAGGAGATGTGAACCCCAAAAACTAAGAATAAAAAGGTTTTTTTCTTCGCCCTGTTTTAAAACAGACTTGTATCGCTTGAAATAAATATTTGTCCTGCTGGGCTTTCTAGAAACTTGTATTTCAGTTATTATAAATTCTACACAATACAGTCCCCAAAACGTGCTAAAACGGTGTGTTAGCATTTCAGGAATTGTGTTATAACAAAGACGTGACTTACAACCACCAGACGTTTTCTTTAGTAACATAAGCCATCTTGTGAATGGCAAGGTAGTAAATACTCCCTATTTGTATCCGTGAAGCTGGGTGTAAAAGGGGAAGGAAGGGCCGAAGAAAGCCAGGTTCAGTTCAGAACCCGACAATTCGATCCCATTGATGTGTTTCAAGAAGCAGCGGTACTGTAACTCAAGACAAATACCATGTCAGACTTTGTGAACTATTCTAAGCATCAGTTGCTGACACCAAGGCTAGGGGGCTGGGGGGTGGCACAGCAAGCGGCTTAACAAGGCCCACCCACAGGAACTGCCACTCTATGAGGAGCGTTTGACTCGCTCTGCTTCACCGTTGTGAAATATCTGGCTGTTTTTAGACTTCACATGATGTCCAAACCTCTGCTGTAGCTCGGGACTAAATGTTTCCGTAAGTTGTTGTTTTTCTTAAGGGTCATTCATAGCTGTGGTGCTTAAGCCTCTTAACGTTGTGAGGATGTGGAGGTGAACAGCACTACTCTTGGTATGAAGATCGGCGGATAAGCGTCTTTTGTGACCTTGGATCTTTTCAGAGGCTGAAGCTGGATTCCACCAGGGACACATGGTCCAGAGTGACAAGGCCATCTGCTGTAGCGCCAGCACTGCAGTGGGAGGGAGGAGAAAGATGAAGGAGTGGTTTGTAGGGGGTGAGGGTACAGAGAATTCCTCCTCCTCGGGTGTGGAAGGACTCGATATTCTGGGAGATCATTGCCAGCACCTTGGATTGAGACTTATTTCTTTAGTGTCACATTTTTTCCTTCAACTTTCTTTCCCAGCTTTCCAAAGGGACTGAGGTTGGGTCTTTAACGTCAAAAGAAATCATGATTTTGTGATTCATATGACGTGTTTTCAAAGTGATGAGCAATGAGGATCTGTACTCTGAATACCTCGCAAGCCGTGGATCCAGTTTCTTCAACATCTCTTTGCACCCAAAGCTGAGAGTTGTGGATCAGCGAAGCAAGTGGGTGCAGATTTCTGGGGTGGAATTGACGGGTGAAAGACAAAAAAATTGCACGCTTGCACTTCCCCAGACGGCCGAAGAGCCAAACGGATGGTTATTTTTATGAGGGACTTTGTAGCAGAAATGGGTCAGGACCAAACCAAACAGCAGATTGAGAAGGGACTGAAGCTCTACCAGTCGAATGACACAGAAAAGGCTTTATATGTCTGGATGAAAGTGTTAAGGAAGACATCTGATCCTGGGGGAAAGTTTCGAGTTTTAGGGTGTCTGATCACAGCACATTCGGAAATGGGGAAATACAAAGAGATGCTACAGGTAAGAGCCGCTTATTCAACAGTCCTCCTGCTCTCTTGCCTTGATATTCTATTTGTCAAAAAAGTTAACTCCATCTACTGACATGTGGATTAAACTGTTAAATGGATCATTTGAATTGAGGGATCATTCATTTAAACGGACCTGTATGACTTTATTTCTTCTTTTCCATATAATGAAATTCAAATGGGATCGAAACAACATTGGACCCCATTGACTTTCATTGCATGGTCAAAAAGCACTTTTTTTTGTGTTCTGCAGAAGAAATAATGTTATACATGTTTGGAACAACATGAGGGTGAGTAAATGAACTATCCCTTTAAATGTTGATATCTGGTAAATTATTGATAAATACACACACTAGACATGATTTGCACCAATTTGCTTGCAACCTTATTTAGACAGATTTCTGACTGATATATATACCAATGCGAATAATGCGAAACATGCATATAATATATAACTTCCATAGTTACATGGAAGGTAAGGAGAGCCACATGCAATTTGATCCTCAGCACTGAGCATCTTGTTGACATAAACCTCCTTGCAGAGGGAGCTGCTTTCCCAAGTTCAGCATAGACTTCATTTGCACTATGATGTGTTTAAACAACTGTAGCTCTCACATAATAATAATAAAGTATGCTTGATATCTGTTGTGGTAGACCATTTTAACAGTAGTACATTGTCTTGTCTAGCATCATATCTGGTTGCAATTTTCCCTATGGGGAAACACCTGAACGGGCTTTTATTTTCAATGCTAATTGTAAAATAATTTTATTTATGAACTATCTTCTGTTGTTTTCTGTCCCCATGTACATGCAACCATCGAACAGTACTCCCTAGCTCAGATAAACACAGCCAGAGAGATGGAGGACCCTGACTACCTGACGGAGGGCTACCTGAACCTGGCACGCAGCAACGAGAAGCTTTGTGAATTCCAGAAGACAGTCTCATATTGTGAGACCTGCTTAAACATGCAGGGCACCACTGTTAGCCTACAGCTCAATGGGCAAGTGTGTTTGAGCATGGGCAATGCCTACCTGGGCATTAGCGTTTTCCAAAAGGCCTTAGTGAGCTATGAGAAGGCCCTGCGATACGCTCACAACAACGATGACAAGATGCTGGAGTGCAGGGTCTGCTGCAGTTTGGGCAACTTCTACATCCAGCTTAAGGTATCAATACTGTATCACTCTTTTTTGCTTATGACACACCTACTCATTTTATTATTACTATTTTACAAAAAAAAATTAATAGTAAAGTCATCAAATGGGTGGATGGAAATTATGGAGTCACCCAAAATAAATTATATATATATTAAATGTCAACTCTTTTCTAGATCCAGTACATACATTCTTTTAACTTAATGAGGTGCATTCTGGGATGCTTTTAAACAGTATTGAAGGAGTTTCCAAAAATTCTGGACACTTGTTGGCTACTTTTCCTTCACTATCCGCTTATCAATTTAAAACTAAATCTATTTCAATAAATAGTAACACTTTATTTTAAGGTGACATACTTACACGTTACAACATGTACTTAGAATAGAATAACTGTAAATGATGCATAATTACAAGTAACTTAACCTAAACAAACCCTAACCGTAACTCTATAGTATTTAATTGTATTAATGTAGTTAATTAATATTACTCAGTACTTATTTGAATAAGTACAATGTAACTATTAATTCATTCATGGGATTGTCTACAATCTAGCCTTTAGATCAGGTTTTTAAGATCATGCAAGACATAAATTCATTCAAGTATGTCCAAATGTTTGACTAGTAGTGTATACTACTGTTCAAAAGTTTGTTTTTTAATGTTTTTGAAAAAGGTTTCTTATGCTCAACAAGGCTGCAATTATTTGACCAAAAATACAGTAGAACAGTAATACTGTGAAATATTACAATTTATTTTTTTGATGCAAAAGTGAATTTTCAGCATCATTACTCAAGTATTCAGTGTCACATGATCCCTCAGAAATCATTTTAATATGCATTTCCTTTTATAATCAATGTTGAAAACAGTTGTGCAGCTTAACATAAATAGAAAGTTCAAAAGAACCACATTTATTCAAAATAGAAATCTTTTGTAACAATGTAAAGGTCTTTAATGCATTCTTGCTGAATAAAAGTATACATTTTTATAAAAAAAATTAACAAATCTTTCTGACCACAATGTTTTGAACAGTAGTGAAAACCCTAAGTATAATAATTGTCTACCAGCATCACTGCATACTGTATTTGTTTCAGGCCTACAGTTATTTAAGCTCAATTTCACTCACTGACAGAGTAGTACGAAGTTTTTACATCACTAACAAACTGCCTACATGTTATGTACAATGTATCCAATTCCAAGTCAGACAAAGCAGGTTTGGCTATAGATATAGGCATTTGTACTCACCTTGACACCAGAGATTTGAAGAGAGTAAATCCCCTGGATTGCCAGGAAGGCCTGCTGTAATATGTATGTGATGAAGAGGCATGCAGAGAATGTAAGCGCTACTAGGAGCAATAATAAGACGGCTCCTTTTAGCTGTGGCAGAGTTCTGTCTCCCTGCACAGGAGAAATGATCAGCTTTGAGTGGTTGGTCATTTTCATTTACATCTCTCTGATAATCATATTTAATTAAATGTATTAATGTATTGACTTGAAATATCTCATTCTAAGTGTATCAAGTCAGTATTTTGCAGAAATTTTCTTTACTAGTATTTGGTTGGTGTTTTGAATCAACATTCTTTTAAATGTTATAAGTTTACATAAAAATGCAAGTTCCTAATAATTATGTACAGCTTGTTTTATGCTAATAAGTGTCCCTATCTGCATATTTTGTGCTGTTGCAGGATTATGAGAAAGCACTCTTCTTTCCTTGCAAAGCAGCTGAACTGGTGAATGACTATGGTAAAGGATGGAGTCTAAAGTACCGTGCCATGAGCCAGTACCATATGTCGGTGGCCTACAGGAAGCTGATTCGCTTACCAGATGCAATGGAATGCTGTGAGGTACAAACATTTAATATGATTTTATGACACGTCAACCATTTTTAAAATAATAATGTATGTGTATGACTTTTTATCACATACCCTGTAAAAAATAATTGTAATTTCAACTGTAAAAGACAGTAACAAATGTGACAGTAAAAAACAGTTAATTGGTTAACAGTAAGTTCCCCTTCTATATATGGGTAAAAACTATAATAGATTTTATATTTTATCATTTTACAGTAAAATACTGTTTTAAATGGTAAAATGTACAGGTTTCTCTGTAAACATCTTTACATTTTTACTGTATTATACAGAATTATTCTGGCAACCACAGCTGCCAGTTTTATTCTGTAAAAACGACATGATTTTTTTAATTAAATGTATTCATTTGGCCACTTTGCTCTTCAAATATACATTTAGCATGTGTATTTTCCTATTTATGTTGTAGTGTGCATCATAAACGTACAAATATGGCAGCTTGTGTCAATGGTCACCTGGACGAATTTAAGGCAGCATCTTAATCCCCCAGGATGCCGCATGTTGGTCATATTTATCAGTCCCCTTGGCGTAACCCTGGCCTCTGAATTTCTGCAGCTCGGGCCACGACACAACTGACAGGTGCAGCTATTTGTAGGGCTAGTTGTGCCAGCCCTCTTTACTATGGCTGATAAAAATACGCCAGTCGAGAGTCCATCCTGCTGAGGTGCCGTCTGAGAGGAGTGTTAATGAAGAGCAGAGCTTACACTTAGCCCCTCGCTAATGACGAGGAGAGAAATATCACAGGCAGTCATTGCTTTGGACTGTGAGCGTCACAATGTGCCGTCCGCAGCAGTGAGTTACACACGTCGAACAGTGCTGGGGATTAATGCAGGCTATGTGCCAGCTGTCACGCAACTTTTCGTTTCGGGGGCTGTTGGTACATACGCTATACTGGTCAAAAAGTTTGTAATAATTACGTTTTTTAATGTTTTTGAAATAATGTTCACCAAGGCTGCATTTATTTGAGCAAAAATACAGTAAAAACTGTTTAAATTATTGTGAAATATTATTACGTTTTAAAATAACTGCACGTTTTATAAACGAGGCCCAACGTGATTACATAATTTCTAGGTAATTATGTGAAGTCAAAGAACATCTGGTGGTGGGACATTTGAGCCACCTGCTGGGGGAATGTTTGAGAGGAGGATATATTGTCTGTCGTAAATGGAAGTGACAGTAAGATTAAGTTTATGCTTACTTAAACTGTATATTGTATGTGCAATACGTGCAACGTGGAGCTGTTCTTATTTTAGGTTTAAGAAAATGTAAAGAAAATATACTTGGCGAAAGCAGTCAAAAACAAGCATGCAAAAGCAAACTGATGTTGTAAAAGAAAAACATAAAACCTACATGTTACAGTTTAGTATTTGTGAAACTGGAGAACAACATGCATACATGATTCCTTAATATTGACATAAAACCGTATGTCTCTCAGGAATCAATGAAGATTGCTTTGCAGCATGGAGATCGACCTCTTCAGGCATTGTGTCTGCTTAACTTTGCTGATATTCATCGCTGTCAGAAAGATGTTGATGTAAGTTTAATGCCCAATGTCTTTTTTTCTATTTTACTCAAGCTTCCTTTCCAGTATATTGCTAGCATTTCTGTTTTTTTATCCTTAAAATCACATTGGATATCATTGCTAGGGATCCTACTGAAAATTACAAGTGCATTTGGCACATCATTTTTATACAAACAATTTTTTCACTGTCCCACTTACACATTATTAGAGAATTATGCTTTACGGTTATGATGACTAAAATCATAATTGTAATTTATTTCCTTTTATATTATAATCACGATTAGTAAATGTTGATCAATGGAATTTACATTAATATACTGCAACTTGCTACAATGTTCAACGCTGCAAAAAAATTAAAATATGCATTCTGTAATCAAAACTTTTCACAATTACCTAATTACGGCACCCATAATCACGAATGTTTTAAAAAATGTCCTGCATTCCTATTGTAGAATACTCAACCAAGCCTGTAACAGTTGCTTTTCTTTATGCGCTCACCTTCAATACAGAAAGCATTCCCTCGCTATGAGTCCTCCATGTGCATAATGTCAGAGATTGGCAACCGCCTTGGACAAGCATCCATCTACGTCGGGGTGGGAAAGTGCTGGATTCTGCAGAAGGAATACGATAAGGTCATGAAACTGATTTGATTGTGTAGTTGTCATGATAGATGTCCATTACTGAACATTTGTGATCGACACATCTGGAATATCTCAAATTATCGTCTTTATAATTTTATGACTTTCACAGGCTCTGGACTCAATGCAAAGAGCACATGATCTGGCCGAGGCGATTGGAAACAAGGTGATGCATCTATTTTAGATGACATACCATTAAACCCATTCAGAAGATAAATGCATGCTCTGTATTAGCATTAGCATAGCATTTGGCCATCTATCTGTGTGTTGTTCTGTTCCAGCTGTGCATCCTGAAGGTGCACAGCCTGTGTGAAGGCATCTACCGCAGTAAGGAGCAGCAGGATGAGCTGAGAGAGCAGGTGGTGAAGTTCCTGCAGTGTGTAGAAGAGCTGGAGCTCTACTGTGGCATGTGTGGGGAGTCTATCGGAGAGAGGAACCAGCAGCTGCAGGCCTTGCCCTGCTCTCACATTTTCCACCTCAAGTAGGTATTGTTTATTACTCTCTATAGCCACCAGCTATGAGGAACTACGAAACTCACTATGTTCTGTTCACACATGCAGGTGTCTGCAGACAAATGGCACAAAGGGCTGCCCAAAATGTCATCGTTCATCAATGAAGCTGGGTTTTGTATGAAATCGCACTCCTGCCTTGGACAAAACGGCTGAATCCCATCACAGTGACTCGTCTGGGAGCAAAAGTTCCAGGGCCTTCTTCCAGGGAGCGTTCTAGCTGGACAAAAGGAGGTTTTCCAGTCTTTCCATCCTGCCTTTATGGCAACTGGGAATAATGTGGAACTGAAAGGACATGGATTAATAGTTCAGCGCAGAGACGTCATGAATGACAGCAGATATTTCTTTGAACACTGACCTTATAATGCTGCATCGGTGTAAGACAGAAACATTAAAAACAGCCTTTGATTGGACCATGCAGCATTGCTGTCCTCTTAGTGAGGATATTCATCAAAGAGGTGAGAGCTTTACATATCACGCGGTTTCATAGTGGACATTATTGGTATATTATCACAGCTGAACAGAACAAAAACATCTACCAAATTTCAAGCCCTAATCAGTTTTTTCAGATTGTGTAAATAATTCATGAATGCTATGATCAATGTCATTTGAAAAAGACAAAGGTGTTCTCTTTCAGCAGTGTAAGACATGCTGTTCTGTTTTAGTTTGTTTGAGGTTTGCTTTGAGCTTGTAGTAAACTCAAATGTCTCTAACTGCCTCCTGAAACTGTAAAACTCTGAAGTAACAGGGGCGTGTGTTCAACTTATTAACTTGACCAATTATGCATTTTGTTAACTATTTATATGACAATTATTTATGTCTTTTAATAAGAAACTTACACAGTACACACAACATTACTTTACTGTTTCTGATAACAGTTGGATGAATTTTACTTTGAATCAACAAAATGTGAAAAGTAGTCTATATTCAATTCTTTCTTTCTTTATTCAATGCATTTATACATCAACTTATGTATCATCTCCATTATTTTCTACAACCTTCAGAGATTCACAAAAGAGAATGCGCTCTGTATTGAATCAACAAATGGTTTACACCTGTTTCCAACCTGTATAGCACTAAAGTATTTGAGTATGATTAATCAGAATGGCCCAAAATTAGTTTTTATCCTTATTTCTTTCTGGGCGCTTTAATTGAATAAATAGCCTAAATAAGCAAATTGTTATATATATATAATCAATTTAGAATGACTATGCCCAAACATTACAAGCGGTATATACTGATAGATTTTTTTATATGAACAATCTGTATTTCAGATCATCTGACAAATGTTCATATTCTTTTGTTAATCATTAACTGTCAATTATCTAACCTTTCATAACTGCTAAATTGATTTCTCATCATTTTACATTGTGAGGATTTCAGGTAGAAATCTGAGGTCATATGCATGTTTCTTTTGACTACTATTTTTAAAAGTGGATCTTCTTTCTTTCCCTGTAATATTTCCATAACTAAATAATAAAATACAAATAAAACACATCCCAAGACATATATTTTATAAAATAGCCCCCCAAGTATAAGCTTTTGCAACATTTAATCTTGGTTGTGATTAGACATATTCTTACAAATACATAATAAAACAACATGACATGGTGATTTATAATTGTTGAATTGATTAATATATGGGAGCAATATTTAAAAATGCTGCTTATTTATTTCTCTTTTACCATACTTTCATTTTTATAGTAACTTTTTTCTTTCCTATAAGCTTATTTCCCTGCATGCTGTGTAAAGCCGTTTCACATCCTGGTTACATACAGGTTATAACTACCTCTCCACATTTTCCCCTCACAATACTTGCATGTTTATGCAGTAGAATCTTCTGAAAATGAGACTGGACACATTGTTTTAATTAAGATAAGTCCTGTATATACATTCAATGGACTTTTTCTGGTAAATCTTCAATAAAAAACATTTTTTGCAGCTTCCTTTCTGATGACGTATGTATTTTTAATCAGACCACAGCATGACTAATCATGTCCTCGGAGTTGCACAGCAACATTTCTGACAGTATTTACAAAAAGTTTAATAGTCAGGTCGAACCAGTTGCAGTGCTCACTACTTTCAGATTTTCTAAAGAGAAAACACCTCTCAAAGAGTTTGGATTTGCAAATTCACCACCGATGGCTGAAGACTGTCAATTCACTGTGGAGGATCTACAGTGTCCCGTGTGCTGTGAGGTCTTCGATGTCCCCGTCACACTGAGTTGCAAACATAGCTTCTGCAAAACCTGCGTTAAGACACACTGGGACTGCAGAGGAACACAGCAATGTCCTCTGTGCCGCTGTACAGAGCGCTCATCCAGGCCTCCAATCAATCTGGCTCTAAAGATAGCCTCGGATGTCTTCAAAAAGAAGCAGGAGCAGAAGCAGTTCAGGGTTAAATCGGTGGAGTTTTGCTCAATACACAATGAGGAACTGAAGCTTTTTTGTCGGAAAGATGCAGAATTTATCTGTGTTGTTTGTACGTCATCAAGGGATCACAGAAATCATGAGTACTGCCCTATAGTAGAGGCGACATCGGAAATAATGGTAAGGAAACGTACGTTAACCTTTATGTCTTATGTCTTTTGTAGCTAGATATTAGCATTTGTAGATGTATAGAGTGTGGCCTTACAGTCCGTTTCTGCCACATAAGAAAAAAATCATGCTTTTGAAAATCATAATTATGACATAAAATGACAGTCATAACTTCAACTTTTATCTCATTTTCTACTTTTTAATCTCATAGTTTTGACTATATAGTAATTACGACTTAGTATGTCATAATTTCGACTTAATATGTCAATTGTTTTCTATGTGGCAGAAATGGGCTTCCATATGCAGTATGTCAAAGGTCTCAAGTTAAATGGGATTGGTTTATAAATGCTATTTCCATACACTCACCCCACAGAAAGTGCTCACAACTAGGTACAATCCTTTGAAAAAACAGCTAACCACTTTTAAAAAGTTAAAGGGGAGCTTGAAGGAACTGGAAGCATACATACAGGTGAACTATATACACACCTACAGTCCCTCAACATAAACTTCCTCATGAATCATCCAGTCGAATCTATTGTTATTCTAATTTACAGAAACAAGCAGCTAAAACTGCAGCAGAAGTAAAACAAGAGTATGCAAAGCTATGTAGAATCCTGAGGGAGGAGGAGGCAGCTCGACTCATGGTGCTTCAAAATGAGAGCGACAGCAAGACCGAGGTGGTGAGAGAGAAACTGAAGGAGGTCAATAAGAGCATTGAAGAGCTCTCTGACATCATCAACTACATAGAACCCATCATAATAGCAGATGATCTGACATTTTTAAAGGTCAATATGCTTTTAAACCATCATTTTTACTTGAAGGTGCTGTGAGCGATATTGATTAGATTATGACAAGATGTATTTAATTCGGTAAGGAGGAAGTTCAGGAATATCTTAGATACTTCCTCCTTACCGAAATTCCTGAACTTCCTCCTTATCGAATTAAATACATCCTGTCTTTTTACAACCCTGCCTATTGGTGTAACCACGTATGGTATCATCATCTGTCATTCAGCTCATTGGTCTGATTATTTTCCTGTCTTTTTATTTCTTTATGATGTTTGGCTGTGTAAGAGCTGGTTCACACAGAACGCCCTGCTTTTTAATCGCTTTTCTATGTAAACATACGCTTGAGGAATGTCTTTGTGCCACTCTGTGTGAACGGATAATTCGCCACTAGTTCCCTCTAAATTTTCTTATGGGGTTTTATAATAGTGTTTTTCAATTTATGAGTAAAATAAAGCCTGTGGTAAACAACTTGACGATAATTTGACGTTTTGTTCTATAACGTAGGCTACACTGCACACACTAAAGTTCTAGATAAAGTTCTTATCTAGCTTATTAGAAACATGTTTTTAAAAATAAACAGCACTACTTCAAAATTCACATTTTCGGTATGTGTGTGTGTAATTTACATTGTAGGACAGAATGACAAAAGCATCGTCAGGTTATGTTTACCACAGGCTTTATTTTACACATAAATTGAAAAACCTCATTATAAAACCCCATAGGAACGTCTCGAGGGAACCAGTGGGGAATTAGTTTTGATGTCATCCTTGCAAAACCCTACAGGCTATGTACTGCTCTGTGGGTGTAATGGTTCAAATTACTCTCGGTTCTGTTTTTATCATGGTTTCGGTATGTGCTATGTTCAAGGAAAACGGACTACTGTCAAATAAAAATAAAGAAAATAAGAACAAATAATAAACTACAAGCAACAGCACAAAAACCTACAATAGAGCAAAGATATAAATAAAATGAACAGTGCTTTTCAGGTTATTTAGGTATCACCTAACTATCATATTTTCTGTTGTTTTCTTCCTTATCCAGAGATGGTTATTTGCTGATTTCCAAGATATTTCAATTTCCTTACTGTAACTGGTAGAATGCTTGTCTATGTAAGAGCACACAGTCTCAGAGCAACCTAACAGTAGTTTTCAGGTCTAGAAATTGAATAAAGTAATCAAATGTAAAACAACATTGCATGTAATATTCACTGTATAAATTAAATAAAAATTAAGACATAACTTACTATGTTTGCTAGGATACTCACCAAGACGGGCATGTTAATAATTTTTGTGTGAATTTATCCGTTCAAGCGCAAGACTGGACTGAGAACTGAATATTTGAGCGCTGTCTGAGACGCAGCTTTCCGTGTGCGCGTTTCGGATGTGTGCACACACAAATCTTATTACAGCGCACGTGAGTTCTCTTTGTGGCTTCTTGCGCATGAGTGTTTAAATTGGCAAGGCTTAAATGAGTTTAATTTAAACAAAGATAGCAACGTGGTGTTTAGGTCTCACCTGCGCTCATGCTCTATCATCACCCGGGTAATGATGGCGTAAAGTAAAGTCATATTAGAGCATACGGCGCAATATCTCAGGAGGACAGTTTTTCAATGACATCTTTCAGACATTAGGATAATTTTCAGCGTAGTATTCCATAAAAATCACTCACAAAACCTTTAAGTTAGGTTCCTTATTTGGCCTTATCTGATACAAAAAATAAAGTATGGTTCAAAGGATTCAAATTATGCTAATTCCTTTACATTTTCTCTACCTACAGGAATGTAAGGAGGCAATAAGACGGTATGGTTAGCAATTGCTTTAAATGTAATCAGTCTGTTTTCTCTTTTCACACTGAAATCAACAAATAATGCATTCATTCTAGGACTAACTACATTGTACCTGAACCAGAATATCCAACAAGGGCACTTATAGATGTGTCTATGTACCTGGGATCATTAAAGCATGGGGTCTGGAAAAGAATGGAAAATGATGTCAGCTACTGTAAGTACAAATCAAATGTCTTCCGAACACTTTAAAGTCAGCATGAAACGAAGGTTGTGATAGTATTTTCTTCCCTATTAAAATCGCTTCCCAAACAAGAAAAAATGTAGGACGAGACTAGTTTTTTGTCCATTGGGAATTGATTGGATCATTGTCGTTGTGAGTGACAGGTTGTCCCGGCCACACGCCAGTAAACACGTCATTGCAAGAGAAAGGGGAGGCTATTTTAATTAAAGATGGGCATGGATAAGTCATTTATAATAAATACTGCAATATTCCAATAAGTCAATTTCGATTAATATGGTGACTTTAAAGGAAGTGTTCTTCCCAAATTGCAATTCTGATATCGTTTATTAATCCAGTAATTCTTTTCAATTACTTTTTTTCTTAGGTGGAATACAAAATTAGGCATTTAGTGTAATTCGCCTTTGGCTAAGCCCCGCCCCCCTTAGTTACTGTTGCTACGTCCGACAAACAAACTTCATCTGGGCTCTGGTATCAACATGGCTTATGCTGTGACAGCTCTTCCTGCTGAAATTTGATCAAACTTTTATAAAGCAGCAAATAAATTGTCCGATAGAAGTAGGCAAAAGGGGCTGCAATATACGTTCGAAGGCTATATTCACGACATACAGGTGAAACGCAAGGAACAACAAGGCATCCAAATAGAGGCAAAAGCAAAGCATATCGGTCACAGTCAAAAAAATGAACCACCGCATATCCTACTAATCGAGACGGAGGCTGGGACTAACATTATCAATGAGCAACACTGTTCATGCAAAGCTGGGTAGGTCTCTATTCACTTCTATAATCGTTATTACCAAGCAAACGGACTACGCGAGTACAACGTTGTAACGTTATTTATTAGCAGCGTGTTCTAGACGACACTTGTCAGGATTTGACTTCGGTTTTGGAAAGGAAAAAAAACAGACATCCCCCTCCAACCTCTCTGGGGAACGCGTATTTGTGTTACAAATGCCCCAGGCACAACGTTTAACCATATTTTTGATAAAACTACGACGGTAATAGCCTGCCGAGACCAAAAATATGAGACGCCTGTGTTAAAGCCAATGGAGCGCTATAAAAAGTGTCGGACCTCTGTGGGAGCTCGTTCTTGGCTGTGCTGTGATTGGTCAATCTACATTCTAGGGTGTGGCTTAGCCAAAGGCGAATTGTCCAAACTGACCATTTCTGTACCAAAGTATACAGTTACTTAAAAAAAAACCTATACTTTTTTTTATACCTACATCAAACTAATGTCTTTGTGTCATAGCTCTTAAAGTCCCTGTAAAGTCAAAATTAAGTATGTGTTCTGAGTTTGTCACACCACAGAAAAATGTGTTATTAGTCACCCAGCCAAATTTGAATGATAAAAAAAGCCAGCAAGTACATAAAATAAGCTATCAAAATCTTGAAAAAATGAGCAGTATTCTCTGCTCTCAAACGCTGGGGGGGGGGCGTGTCCGCTGGCTGTGCTGAAGCCACGCCCACTCGCGGGAAAGCTGCCGTCGCCACACTCAACTCTACAGCCGGAATAGATGCTCGCACGGTGGGCACGCACTGCCGATGATGGCACCAGTTGTCGGCGCGACTGGAGGATGAAGGCCGAGGCGGGAGATAGTCGGTTCGGCCCCATTCACCAGTAACAGCGGATTATCAGTGAATCCCAGTTGTCTCTGATGAAAGTTTATAAAACTATCCCGTGTAAAATGATCACTTACAGAGGTGGTTTTGGCAGTGATCCTCAGCTCTCCATCAAAGTGGCTCTTCACAAAATTAATCCACTTCTTCTTGATGTAATCGTTTTTCGGAAATGTAAATAAGGACACCGATCTGTTTTGTACTGATCCGGTGATCGCATCCAGGTAGTAACGTTACGCATTTCCGTGACAAAAGCATAGCTAGCTAGCAATCTGTAGGCCGTTACTAATAATAGTACTGACAGTAACTCGCGAATGAGCGGCAAACTGATGTGAATGTGCTCTATAATATTGTTAGGAGCGGCCAGCCTCAGCGGCTTTAGTGCGTCATCAAGTAGGGGCGTGTCCAGGAGCTCAAGGGCTCCAGTGCGTCATCGAGCCCCGTTTTAGCCCCGCCCAGAAAATCCGGAAAATAGCAATGGTGAAAAACTGTTTAACGGTCTAACTCCACAATTCAGTACTTCACAGTTCACAGTCTTTGTAATATGTTTAATCAATACATTTCTAACATTTATAATGTGTTTAGAATTTTTTTTTGAAATTGCCTTTACAGGGACTTTAAATTTCATTTGCACCTCAAGACATATACATATTGCGCAATGTTGGAGTGTTTAAAAACCATGAATGTACAACAGGTTTAATGAATTGTGTCCTCCAAATGCTAAAATTAATTGGTAAGGACTACACTGCTCAAGTACAGTAGGCCTAATTAACAAAATCATGAAAAGACAATTATCGGTTTTCTTCTTGCTATCTCACAGGCTCTGTCCATTTTGATCCAAACACGGCACATCCTAACTTGATCATCAGAGATGAACTCACCACCATTAGTTATGGGGAAAAGCAGCAGCTTCCAGATAACCCTGACCGCTGCATGGGCAGCATGGCTGTACTTGCTGCTCGCGGCTTCAATTCAGGAAAGCAGCGCTGGGATGTAGAGGTGGCACACAGCAAAGAGTGGTACGTTGGAGTGGCACAAGAGTCCATAAAGAGGAAGACTGCAGTTTTCCTCAGCCCAGCAGAGGGTTTCTGGGTAATTGCAAATAATGAGGAATCCTATTGGGCTCAGACCTCTCCCCGCACTCGACTTACTCTGAAAAAGAAACCACAGGTAATCACAGTTGAACTGGACTATGACAAAGGAAAGGTTTCTTTTTCTAACGCAGCAGATGGTGCCAGTATTTACACATTTAAAGAGAAGTTTACTGAGAGAGTCTTTCCTTATTTTGCCGCTGGGATAAATAAGGGGAACACGCTTCGAATATGTGCACTTTAATGTGTCAGTAATGCGGTACAAATATGTAAATATGTATCATACAACCACTATTAACCAACATAAGGTCACATTTCACCCAAAATCAGAGGGGGAAAATTAAGCTTATTTTAGGATCATTTGTGCATTGTGCCATTTTTATGAGACCATCATTTTTTTTAATTACCATTATTTTCAAGGGTCATTATTTAATTTCCATTACATTAATACAGCAGTTTTTACGATCACCTTAAATCAGAGTTTTTAGTAATAAGCTTTCCTGTTTTAGCCAGTATTTGAGTTTGTGACAGTTTATACAATTAACATGTATGTTGGATCTCATTCAGATTTATTTTGATTCTATGTTAATGCAGTTATACAATAAACATTACTGAACATCAGCTAAGCATTCTCTATTCATTACTGAAACACGTTTTGTGAAATGATGATTAAAAAGTGCAGCAGCACAGTATGCTTCATATTCCTTTAAGGATATTTCTATTTTGTAACTATTTACTTGAGCTAAATGGTTATTTCTGATTGAGAACATTGCAGAGCTATTTTTAGGGTAAGCATTTCAAGCGCAGAGTATCATCTACCTGAGTCATCTGCAAGTCACACAGGACGGACAGCCAAAGAAGACTACTACTACTGTACTTACAGTATTACAAATATGCTTCAAACCATGCTCTAATGAACATTAAAAACCTTTAGATAACATATTAAAATGCGTTTTACACCACTTTGAACTGTACAAGGCCTCCTGATCAAAGGAAGGTCAACCCATTACAAGAACCTCAGTAAAGCAGTGGTAGAGAAAAGGAATATGGTAAAGCAAACAATTCTTATAGACTACATAACATATAAAGATCTTTAACCACGGTCTTATTTACCATGGTGCTCTAAGAAAGACTCATTTCCGCCTACTATCATCAGATGGTTGTTTATGTATGAGCAGGGATGTAGTGGAGGCTAAACGCACGTAAACGCCGTTTACGCACCTCCCAATATTCGGAAATAGCGTTTACCCACCTCCAAACTGCGTTTATCCACCTCTAAATTGCGTTTTTCCACCTCTAAATCGCTATAAGTTAAGCTTATGTCGTTTTAGTTTCATATTGTTAATTATTAGTTTTATAGGTTGTTAAACCTGACGAACTCTTTCATATTGCGCTGCATTAGCCTCTCGAGGAGAAATCTACACAAATGAGCGCACACACACACTCAGTTAACAACATACTGCCTATAAAAAATCTAAATGTGGAGTTTTTATATTTTTAACATATGTTAAGCAACCTCAATTATTTTTTCCTGAACACCATCACGATTGAAAATGTGACATTGATTTCCTACAACAGTTCAATAAACAGTTAAAATTAAGTCACTTACATTTTAGATGCAATATTGGCTGTTTTTGTTCTGTTTCAGCAGCGAAAATAGTTCCAAACAAAAATCACAGCAGAACCACGGCGCATCTCACAGGAACACTCAACACAGGTTGCGATTTTTCGAGGCTATGCGATTTTTCATTACTGAATGATTCATCATTTTGAACGAATCGATTGAGTCAAAGATTCAATGACCCATTCATAAACATCTCAATCTTGAATGAACCAGCCGTTTGAATAAATCGTTTGAATGAATGAATCAATGACTCACTCATAAGACGGTCGCCTGCCGCCACCTACTGGCGGTTTCGTGTTATGTTTAAAAGTAGATCATTCTTTCCAACGTTTCTTATTTGTAAATTTAAATCAATTTCATAACATTATTTTATGCAATTGTAATTTTTCAGTGTAAATGATTTAATTTGATCAGCCCTATAGTGTCTTAATATTCGAAATAATTGAATTTATTGATCAAATTTAGGAATTTAAAATGAAAGATGAAGCATACATTTAATAATATTGGGGGAGGGGATGCCCTTTAAAGGTGCAAATATTACAATATGCTGATTTAAATATCAAAGCTAATTGAACACTGATGGGCATATTGTTTCAGAATAAATTAACACACACAAAAAAAAAATCCGGACGAGAAACTTTTTTACTCGGACAAGTGAATGACAGATTTACTTGTCCGAAGGACAAGCGTATGAAAAGGCTTAATGTCGAGCCCTGCCTATAGCAATGTCATCAGGATACACATACACCGGTAGGCAGTGGCCCACCTTACCGGGTGACCACGTCGTGGTCCACCACCAGAATTTATAGTTTACCCACCTCTTTTTTTACCACTACACCTCTGTGTATGAGTGATTCTATGTTTAGTAAAAACTACAATTTATATTGCAGTTCTTCATCAGAAAACCTTTTGTTTGCTATTTCTCAGTTCATTCAGTTTTGTCCCATTCATAGGCCAACATCCGTAATGAAAAAGACAAACTAAATAAATTATGATCCTATTATTTCAGTTTCTGAACAAGACGTTTATTCATCCAATGCAATGGTATATCAAACACAAACCAGACCAAGTTTGTGGCAAACCAAGTGGCTTGAGGGAACTTTTAAAAGCATTTTCAGTGGTTAAAAAAAACATTATGTAGTGCCACATCATTTCTTGTCATAGGACTTGTGTGTATTAGAAATACTGCCCTTTGTATTGCTCCTTGTATGTGTTCAGCATGCAAATCCTCCACTAACTGCCTCCATGGAGCTCACAATGCCACCTCAGTCTCTTATGTCCTCTTGTGGACAGATATACTGTACACACAGACACACCGGGCTGTAGTAGTAGACTAAATATATTAAATGGAGTATTAAATGGACCCAATCCAAAGCTTTGCTTAGCCTGTGCTCTTTAGAGCTTAATGGGAAAACTGAGAGATTACATCTGACATCAATAATCAATGCATCAATCACTGAGAGAGAAAGTGGAGCAACTACCTAAGCTCCCAACAACAATTCTGCAAGACACAAATCTTGTAAAGGGATTTCAGACTAGCATTATTGGTATTTCAAGCTCAATTGTCATTCATAAACCCACTTTTCATTGTCAGTGCCAGTTGGGAGAATTAAATTTGGCTGGTCTTTATGTTTTATCTTTGTGTTTGTACATTTGCATACCATTAAGCCATGCCAGAGTGGATCTGCAATAAATAGCAGCTGTTCTCAGCCTTATGTGGGAACTTACCAGAATCCCCTTCTGGTTAAAGATCAAACTTAAAAGCATAGAAATCTTTCTATACATATTTTCAGGTAAATAACCAACACATTTAAATTAAACAGCATTAGATTGATCAAGTGTCTCCAAGAATGTCAGTTCTCTTTGTCTTTGACTTTAGTTTTTCTTTGAGATGACATATCTTTCAGTTTAGAGTCTAGTTTTCTGTGCAGATATGCTTTTTTATTCGGATCCATTGATTTGTCCTTCTGTCCACTTCCTGCGTAGAGCACCCCTTCTTTACTTATCCTCATTCTAGCCTGAGCTTTTGCTTTGTCTCCACATCCGTGAACCTAAAAAAAACAATACATTATCTAGAACACATCGCATCAAAAATGTCGTTAGTATAAATGTTTTACATGTTTTTAAAGTGATTATATAATACATTTTTTATTATTTCATTTTAATGACTATTTTCAACCCTCTCTCTGGCGTTTTTTTATTGTATGACATGGTTACAAATGTTATACTGCACCCAAAAAAAAAAATCGCCCTTTGGGCTTATAATAAACTTGAAACAAAGTCAACACCCTGGAACATTATTAAAAATAACTTTTTATAAAAAAAATTTTTTTTTTTGCATTGTCTAATAATTATGGTGGATACAAATATAGGTAAATACGTTTGTTATTTATGTATTCTCGATGTGTATGGAGAAAAATAGATTAAGATGATTGGCCACCGAAGTATTATTGATAAGTAGTGAGAAGGGGTAGGATTAAATAAGCTCATGCTTCTTCCTACTCTTTTTCGGATATAAGTATATATAAGTATATATAATGTATAAGTTAATATTGTTTTCTTTTATTGGTTTCCTTTTTAACATTGTTTTTTTTTTTTTTTTGCTTTCTGTTTTGATGAGTATTTGTTGTTATTAGGTTTTTGTTTTTGTAAATAAAAAATAAATAAAAAAGAACTTCAGGTGTTTATTTATAATAGCATCTAACCAGCTTTCACTGTATTACATCATCTTGACCGTAACCATTAAATGGTTGATTTAGACTAGGAACAAAGTTTCAAGTTCTGAAAGTTAGTCCATTTTCATATTATAATTATCTCAAGGAAAGGAATAAAGGAATATTTAGTTCCTCATGATATAACCGCTTTAATATAAAATATAAAGCAAGGTGTACCTCAGGTATATGGTGACTAAGACAGTATTGTCTGTTACAGTAGAGGCAGAGCTGCCCTAGTGTGAGGACGCTGGCTTTGCACTTCACAAAAGCACACACGCTGTCAGCTTTAACCACAGAATCGATCAGAGAGTCAAAATCATCATCAGCTGTGGCAGCTGCAGCTATATCCACGGCTCCTGCTTTTATCTTACTGCTTCCTATGAAAGAAAGACCATGATGCGTAACACAGAGAGTAAAAGTATTGAAAGAATTCAGATACTGGGATAGACATCACAAACCTTTGGAAGTTGCTTTGGCTTTCTTAACAGACTGGTTTTTACTTGCATTGAAATCTGGTTCCAGTCTCATGCTTTGCTGTTTTTTCTCCTCTCGTTTCTCCTGCTCCCGGCGCATTCGCTCCAAATGTAGGTTTTTCAAATCAATAGCTGCCTGTGAAGAGGCTTTTTGTGATTCTTCTTGTATCTTTCCTGCTGTACATCCGGTCATGTCTGGTTGTTCAGGCTCCTTCACAGGCTTCTCTGGTCCTGATGGAGGCCGGCACACAGTTATGCGACGGTTTTTCCCTTCTCCCTGGCTTTCATGCCTCAATCCCATTTCTTCAGAGAGCTCATGGACCAGTAGACGCTCGTGGGAATTTAGCGTGGAAGGAAACTGTAGTTCTGTCTTGTTTGGGTCTGTCAAAAAGTTCAGAAGCTGATCCTTTATCTCCTTTCTCTTGTTTTGTGTTTGAATGACGTCTTTGGGTTTAAAATGAAGCGAATTGGTGTTTTTACGTTGATCTGTCTGAACACTGGACTGACTCGCTTCACTGCTTTTATTGTTTGCACTTTTCTTGTATTCCTGCTCTGATTTCTTGCCTTGGTTCTTGGGCTTCTGTTTTACGGATATAGAGTCTTTGGCGTTGATCTGTCTGTCCTTTTCATCACGGATGTAATTCTGTGGCACACAGTCTTCCAGGTACTCAAAGGCAGTATGAAATTCTCCGTGTTCAGACATATAGTCCACTAAGGATTTGAGGAAATCATGGTTTCGAACAGTCTGAGTATCACACACTACCGTGAGCTGGCGTCTGGCACGTGTCACAGCAACATTGATCCTTCTGTCTTCAGTAAGAAATCCAACCTCACCTTTGGGGTAAATGAAAGACAATTAATATCTCAACCATTCCTTATGTTCACATCTTTGGAGAAGCTGGTGCATTTTATGTCATACAGATTTGAAATCTCAGGAGGGTAAATAAATGGATAAATGTAGATGTAGTCATCATTTAGATCTGGCGTACCCTTCCTGTTGGATCTGACCAATGACAACACCACTGCCTCCTTCTCTCTGCCCTGAAAACCATCAACAGACTTGATCTCCAGCTCTGTATATTTATGGGACAGTTTCTGTCTCAAAAGATCCACCTGAAATAGATCAAATCCTGTTTTTTTAATGCATGAATGAAATTCATAATGAAACAGCAGTGTAATCCTAATGAAGGCATTGCTTTGCACAGACAGTTTTTTTTAAAGCATCTCACCTGGAGATTATAGGGTGCAATAACTGCAATGTCTTTGACTTGAACTCCAGCCTCAGTAAGAGCTTTGATATGAAGTGCCACAATGTCTACTTCCCCTGTGAAGAGAATAAAGAGAAAAGCGTATTCATATACAGTATTTTATTATTAATATATATACTGTATGAATTAGCAGAGCAATAGCACAGCTGTACATAAAATAATGGGAGACATATCAGAGTTCAAAAGAAGTCAAATTATTGGTGCGCCCAGGACAGCAAGTCTTTATGATGTATCGACAGCTATGGTATCCAGGGTAATGTCAGCATAACAACACATAGGACGAACCGAGGTTTAATTATCCAACCCCTTATATTAAATATATTAAGTGATACACCCCCCCCCCCCCCCCTTCTCCATTTGGAAAACAATAAAAATGTTGATCACAAAATATATTAAGTGATATAAAGAGGAGGTTGTATTTGGAGCTGATATCAACCTTGATTGCCTTTAGACTGCTCATCTGTGTCCTCCATCTCATTCAGGCCACAGCCTGCAGTGTCAATGAGCAGAAGGGGAATTCTGGTTTCCTCAACATCAGCAACACCAGCCAGGTCTCTGTTCAAGATACAATTAGTTATCTTCCTCCGTATTACCTCAACACAAGTTAGCTAGCAAACTTAAAATAAACATAAAAAATAAAAATACTCTCTAAAACACAGCAGTATTGGGGACAGCGATTCTTTGTTATTTAATTTTGTTTTTAATTTCCTTAGGGGAACAACAAAGTAGAATTTCCCTGATTTAAAGTGTATGATAAAGGGGAAGTTAAAAACTCTATGTGAGGGACAAGCCAAAATAGTGAAATTGAAAAGTTCATCTTAAAAGAAAAGTTCCACTAATTGAACAATAAAACATTGTACATGACCAACAGTGCCAAATAAAATGTTTTCTCCAGAAACTTCTAACATATTTTACACACCTAAGCAAGTGTTTCTCCACTGAAGGGTGTGCAAACAGCTTTCCCTGATACATCTGCTCTGAAGCCCACTGCATGATGGCACTGTTCATACGGTACTGAGTGGTCAGCATTCGAACCACAGAGTCTCCATATTTCTTTATTAGCCTCTCCATTAGGCTGACAGACAGGCCTTTAGATGCAGCACTGTGAAAGTTAAAGATAAATTACATTTATAATATGGACAACATTTTATCATTATGAGAGTACGTTTTCAATTAAATGTAATTCATACTTAAGGGCCTGGTTTCACAGTTTAAACTGTTTCACTGATTTCACCTTACATTAAGGCAGGAGCAAGCTACTTAAATTAGGACATTTAAGTAGCTTTTATAAACGTGCCTTAGAAAAAACAAAACAATGGCACTGACATATTTTAAGATATACCAGTGCAAGTTGCTTTCACTTGAAACAGCTCAAACATACATTTTAGTCTGAGACTAGGGTTAAGCCTCGTCTGAGAAACCGGGCAAAAGTTACATAAAATTAATCAGAAACATCGACCAAAAATATTAAGTATTCAAATAGATATATCCTGAAATGAAAACGTTAGAGCTCATCAAGAATGGATACCATAAACCAAATAATTCACAAACTTAAGATACATTTCCTTTTCCTCCACACCTCTGTGATTTGATCGTGGGTGGCAGCTGTTTGTAATCCCCAGCCAGTATGCATTTGCGTGCTTTGAGCAGAGCGATCCAACAGCTGCTCTCTAGAGCCTGAGCACACTCATCTATCACCACCAGGTCAAAATGATCTTTAGGAAGATGTTTGAGAGGACCTTCGTCAGAGGCTCCTATATTACACAAATCAATCATATTGGAGTTTAAATTAGTCATAAACAAACAAACATTTCCTGAAATAAAAATCATGACCACTAGGGAAGGTTTACTTGCCAGTGTTAGTTGCTAGAATAACATCGGCTCTTTTCAGGATCTGAGTGATAGCCGTTTCCTCCCTGGTCCTCAGCTCTCGCCGCAGTTCCCCGATTTCCCGTTTCAGATTGCTACGTTGGCCTTTGTCCCGAGCCTTCTTCATTTCATTCTGTCAATGCATTGGATTTTTTTTTAATTATGACTGTATTAAAACACAGCTTAACAGATGGCCCCAAATCACATTTCAACACTCAAGCCACACTTTTAAAAGTTTGAACTTTGCTGTTTTGAATATACAACATAAAACCAAGTAGCATTGGCAAACAAATAATGCTAGTCTTAATTTTGAACAGTATATTTATTATTTTATAATATAACAATGAAATCAAAATGGATGGACATTCATATTTTTATGGAATATTGCAGTTATTTACACACTTTATTATGTGCCCTTGTAATCTTTAATCAAAATATCTTCCCCTCCCTCTTGCACCAACATCTCTTATGACGCATTTACCAGAGCAAGGGCAGGACAGCCTGTCAATGACATAAAATCACAGCAACGGCCAAACCACAACGATCCTACAATCCAGTCAATTCCTGATGGATCCGCCTTACTTTTTTTTTTTCTCAAGAAGCTATTTCACTCATACATCACAATAGGGAAAAAAAGACTATCGCAACTTCCTCCTCATGCCGACTTTAAATAAACATTTCTGTGAAATGCTTTTAAGTTTTGAAACACATTTTGGGGCCAATTAACCAGTTAAATGGGCAATTCAAAACAATTATGAGAAATCAATCTTACAAAAGCTTTGTCCATGTCCTTGCGAATATCAGAAATGATGTTGGTGTTGTCACTGTGCGCAAGGACCGCATCCAGTGAGTGCTTCTGAATCGACTCGAGCAGACGGGCTGGGTGACCCAATCTTAAAACCTTGACCTTGCTCTTCACAAGGCGCTCCACCAAGTTGTCAACAGCCACATTGGAAGGTGCACAGCAAAGGATCTGTTAACATTTACAAAGTTGTTCATCATCACAATACTGCATATATACTACGGCAAATAATTTATACCTTAACTATCCAAATTTAGAGTTTGATATCTTGCTCACCTTTTGTTCTTGTTTTACTGCCTGCAGGATTACTTCAACCACTGTAGTGGTCTTGCCAGTCCCTGGTGGTCCATGTATGATTGCAACATCTTTCTGAGACATTGCAAAGGACACAGCCTCTTTCTGAGAATTATCTAACCCAGTGTTGCTAAATTCCAAAACATCTGCAATAAAAGAAATATAAATAGACTTAAGGCCCCATTGGACTATGCAGGGTGATTTTCCTGCATAATGCTGTATTTTAGTTCAATTTCAGGTGTCACTCCATGTGCTTACGTTGATGTGATAATATCCCTGGTTCTGAGTAACCAAAGAGGACACTGATCAGGTAAGATGCAGGACCACTGCTGTATCCATTTAAAGACTTTAAGGCCCTGCAAGAAGGAAATGCATCACATTATGCATCAACATTTCATGTGGAAAAACATAACACGAATAAACCTGTTAATGTACAGCATATTTCATCAACACAGCTGATTTTGTGTACTACTGTAACAGCTCTGAAAATCCAAAAAAAAGTATTTTGAGGAAAAAAGTATTAGTAATAGTAAGTATTTAATGATACTAGCTGTATCTATGAACTGATAATTGCACATACTTTGACAGTCGTCTATAGGTCACATTATTTGCCAGCTTCATTAGATTGTAGAGTCCATCTCTGTCCAAGTTTAAACTGTCCTGTGTATCATCAAAAGCCACCGTCAGGGACGCCTGGGTAACACGTGTTACCACACCTGAGCCCAATTCAGATGGCTGACCCTGACCCTCTGACTGATACAAACCTATAATATCACCTATAAACAGAATACAAAAGAAAGCAAGTAATAATAGTAAATAATATTTGAGTTAAAATGTGAAGTCCCTCGCTGGCCAGAGGCTTCATTATTGTATGATTTTTTTTTGTACAGAATGTCTCACCAGGTCCAAAGGTATTGCTGGGAAGAACTGAGGGTCCTATACATTTCCTAGGTTCAAAAACTACTAGACGTCTGCCATACATGCCAGTATGTTGGCTTCCGATCTGAAGTTTCATCAGAAACACTCCTTTGTGCTGTAGATTCTTGGGAGATAAATTCTCCTGCCATGCTCTGACAACACAAACAATATTTCATAGTTCACTGATATATTTGGGCAAAACAAATGAATGGCTAGATAAATACACGTGTAGAACAGTGAGACGTGTGTTTTACCGTGTTTCTTCTAATTCAGCTTCTCTCTCTTCTTGCAGGAGCTCGAGGGTCTTGGAAACGAAGTTTTCAACCTCCATAGTTGTCAACTCGAAGGGTAACTAAAAGTATAAGCTTGAAATTCGTACTCTGGTTATTTGCAACTTATCTATTAAACATTCAGAGGTTTATAATGTCAAAGACCAATTTTGCTAAGTGACACAAGTGTGCGTATATGAGGCTGTCATGTCTGTATGCACTGGATATGGGTCCGTCTCTAAATTCAATCCCACTCTGCACAGAAGATCCAGGCAGAATAATTCCGTCACGAACAGAAATAGTCTCTAACTATTAAAGCCTAGAACAATTAGAGAATTATATCAGGTATATAAATTAACTTTTATCACAGATATAAAATTATGAAATGCTCACATTTTACGACAAAATTGATGCGGAACTGATATTTCACTTGAGGAGGAATATTCTTGTTGCACCGGTCATGCTTTGGGAGAACGATGGAATGTCAACGGTGAAGATCTACATTCAGTCCTATTTGTTTTGCCGTGCAATAGTGTACCTTCAGTGGGATATCTAGAAAGCCAGTATATAGAGAATAATGGCTCGGGTGGTGAAAGGGTTTCGGACTATAAGAAATCACTGGAAAAAGTCCACATTTGCTGTGTGTGTGCTGTCATATGGAGGACACTGGTTGTATGGAAAGCACTGGTTTGTATAATCAGATATATGACTGTCCGTCTCTGTCTTTTATCTATCTATAAACCCATTTTCTCATTTGATGTATATTAATTCTATTATTTTTTTCACAGTGACAGTGTGCTGCGACGAGAAGCATGTATAGAGGCCAGGGTAAGGGATATTTAGTTTGAAAATAACTCGCACTCTTTCCCCCCAGTTTCGAGAATGTTTTTATGGTTTTAGCTTTTGTTAACTATAATAATTTTGATACCCAGAACCTCAAGGTTCCCTACATTGAAATAATATGGTTTTAGCTTTTGTCAACTATAATAACTTTGATACCTACCCAGATTCATAAGGTTCCCTAGCTACATTTAAATATATTGTATCTGATGGTTCCACAGGAATTTGGTCATCAGTCAATTGGACCCCAGGAGCATCTGAAGAAAGCCACAGTCATTCTGAATCCTGCTGCCTGTAAAGGGTATGATTATACTGATTTATGTCCCTCACTGTGTAATAAATCAGTTAAGTTTTTCCATGTTTTTTTTTTAGCCATGTCAGTTTGTTTGTGTAATCATAGTTACATTTTCTCTGCAGAAAAGCCAATAATTTGTTTGAGAAGAATGCAGCTCCCATTTTACACTTGGCTGGTATGGAGGTTAAAATTGTGAAGGTATCATCCTGTGCCCAGGTCCTTTTTTTTTACACCTTTTTTGTATGCATTTTTTAACGTATTTATTGTTTGCGATCTGTTTTCTGTCATGTAACAGACTGATTATGAAGGCCAGGCGAAAAAGCTCATGGAGTTAATGGAGCAAACAGATATGCTGATCATTGCTGGTGGTGATGGGACATTACAGGAGGTACAAAAGTATCTTCATAAAGTGGTTTCTGACAACTTGAGCATATTTAATAAATGTTTTTGTGCATTGTATTTGACCCATGTTTTCATGCATTGTATTTCACACAGGTGATAACTGGCCTACTGCGCAGAGCAGATGAGGTAGTTACTAGTAATACATTTGTTTTAAGACTAAGTTATATTAAACATCCCCATGTTTTCTGAATTTGAACTACTGTAACCACAGGAGAACTTCAGTAAAATACCAATCGGTTTCATTCCTCTGGGTTCCAGTAACTCTCTAAGTCAGAGTTTGCATCTAGTTTCAGACAACAAAGTACAGTAAGTCTCATGACTTCACAAAGAAAACTTCACAAAGAAAAGACTTCTTTTCAAAGAAAATTATTTGCCCAAATGTTTGTTGTGATCAAATTGTAATAAAATGTTTCTGTTTTTTAGGCACATTACCTCAGCAACCCTGTCAATACTGAAAGGAGAAACGGTTCCACTGGATGTTCTGCAAATAAAAGTGAATTTGACAGGCATTTTGAAAGAGAACCTCAGATTTGACAGCATCAACTATTTTCATTCCTTCACACAGAGTTGATTGTGTAATTCTGTTCTTAGGGTGAGAAGGAGCAGCCAGTGTTTGCTTTGTTAAGCTTACGTTGGGGTGCATTTAGAGACGTCGCTTCTTCTATTAGCAAGTATGCTTCTGCTTAATTTTTTATTCACAGCATAAATAAATAAAAAATGAGAATTTGTATTTCTAACGTGATTTAATTAATTTTTTTTTGTCAAGATATTGGTACCTTGGCCCCTTGAAAACAAGAGCCGCACATTGGTTTAGTAGCCTTAAGGTGAGTGCAGTGCTTCATTGACAGTGATCATATTTCAGTTACATGTACATCATATATGAGGCCTACATATTAGTGAGTATTGGATTAATCAGATTATCTTCTCTCCTACAGGAGTGGCCACAGAGTCACCAGGCGTCCCTCTCCTATCTGGCTCCTGTACCTCGTCCACCTGACCTGCCCACTGACATCCCACACAGGCCCAACCTCCTTTACCGCATCTACCGCAGACTCCAGAACTACTGGAACCCTCCTATAGAAGGTATTTTATAATTTTTATAAATATATTTCTTTAAATAAAACATAGAATATGAATTAGAACTGGGCATTGTCACAAATTTCACATTTTGATATATATCAGATACAGTACAGTACTAGGGAACCCTGTCAGTTGGTACATAACTCTAACATTGAAGGTTAAAATGAATACAAACATTTAAATAACACATAAGGCAGTTTTTTTTAACCAATGGATAAAATTGTGTGACTGAATTTTCGTTCATGAAAATTAGAGCCCTAATATGAATAATGTTACTTTGATACTCTATGTCTCAAAGCAGGTTCAGACTTATTGCTAAGCAATCCAGGGCAATTCTTGTGTATCTGTTTATATCTAGTATTTAATTCTTGTTTAAATCCATTTGTGTTGGTAGAGCCACCGGTAGAACCCGAGCCAGAGCAATGGGAGAGCAGAGACATTTCCACATTGGAGCTCTCAGTTAGAACACACAATAAGAACCCTGTGAAGAGAGTGAGTACTGACATAACACTTGTTATTGGAATATTTTGTATATCTAAATGTAAAATAGCCTTGAGGTTTTGTTCTGATTGGTATTGTCTACTGTCTTCAGCGGGTGGACGATTCTATGCTGATAACTCTGGACCCAGACTCCCTTACAGTTGGTCAGTTCATCACTGAGGGGTGAGTGTAAATCATTCTATATTATAATAACTTATTTTATTTATAATTGTAACATCATTCTATATTATAATAATATATTATAAATACAGCAATATTCCATAACTTAAGAATTGTCCATTTTGATTTCTTGGTAAATTTAAATAAATAATAGTACATTTTAAATAATAATTTAAAATAAAAAGTCAATTTAAATAAAAAATAAAAATCCATGAATTAAAATTTTTATAGTTTGTGTTGTATTTTGAATAATTATATTTTCAATTTAATTTGCCATCTGAACTTTTATAAGGTCTCATAAACCCCTAAAGAATAAATTTGTGGACATGAATGAATATTGATTTATGTTATGCAGGACTAAGAAAGCAGTAAACCCAATGGAGTCCATAGAAAATACTTTGCAGATAGAAGCCAGTGCTGCTTGTCTCAATCTCCCGGAGGTCAGTGTGTTTTGGAAGTTTTTGCAACTGATTTCTTCATTGATCTAAGCTGTGATACAGCCGTTCTCATCTATTGCTTTGGTTCTCCTGTCCACAGGAGGGCGCTGGATTTTATGGCATTGACAATGAGGAATACGAGGCAATGTCTGTGGAAGTGAGACTGTTGCCACGGAAACTGAGGTTCTTTTGCAATGCTGAGCGCAGAGAGCAGCTTGCACAGGCTCAGTGATGACAGTGCCGTGATAATGTTGGTTACATAACATTGTGTAGAGGACTGCAGATTATTTGAGACGTTTTCCTAAAACTACAAGAGAGAAACTGGAAAACCAGTGGAGTCAAATGAACTTTGAGTTTTTATAAAGTCATCACACTCTAAGAAGAACATTTTGTGTTCTATGGACCTTAAAGAGTTGATTTACAAAAAAAAAATGAAAAACTTGTCATTAATTACTCACCCTTGTGTCGTTCCAAACCCGTAAGACTTTGGTTCATCTTCAGAACACAAATGAAAATATATTAATTAAATCTGAGAGCTAAAGCTACGCAACTACCCACTCTGATGTTTAAGAAAGTTCATCAAGAGATTGTAAAACTAATACATGAATTGAGCGGTTTAGTTTGAGACTCGGTCGCCTTAAATGAACAGAATTTAGGCTTTCATTCACATAAACATGTATCATCTTACACATCAGTTGTGGTAGATGGAAGGTTCATTCCAATGAGGTTAATTCTCATGTGTGACGCAGCACGTTTGAGCTTTCGCAAGAGGTTCTGTTTATGTTCGCTGATCAATATTTATATGTGAATAAAAGCCTAAATTCAATCTGTTCATCGTATAAACTATAAAGTGATCGTGTCTCTTCAGATATTTTTACTAAACTGCTCGATTCATATGGATTAGTTTTACAATCTCTTTATGAACTTTTTGAAGCGTCAGTTGTGTAGCGTTCTATGGAGGAAAAGAAATCTATCAGATTTCATTCAAATATCTTCATTTGTGTTTTGAGGATGAACGAAAGTCTTACGGGATTGGAATGACATGAGGATGAGTAAATGACAGGTTTTTCATTTTTAGGTAAACTAAACCTTTAATGGAAAGGCAGTTGTATGTGTTAAAGTAAGTTTATGTCTCAAAAATTGTGTTTTTTAACAGCATGGATGAGGTTGTCATACTGTTATTAACTTATTATAGTCCAAACTGGTTTATTTTGAGAGAATGTTTTTGGGAGTGCAAACATGGCTCTAGAATTTTCTTGATACAAGATTACTGTAAATGTCTAACCAGATAAGAACCAAGAAATAAAGACATTATCAATCTCTTATTTTTAAAGGCTTTTCCGTGCATTTTTTATCATTTCAGTTGATAGTGTTTTGTCTTAAAATACCCTTAAATACTGTGCAGACAAAACATGTGATTAGAAAAGAACCGTTTATTTCAAAATGGCAGTGAATAAGAATCACTGGCTTTAAAACAACAGACACATGCTGTTAGTTTGTATAACTGTATAGGTAGTGTGTAAGACAGAGGCATTACACTAGTGCTTTGTGATACCAGTAGAGTAAAACTCAACATTCATTTAGCTTGTTATTATGACAAAGACTTGTGTAACACTTGGATAACGCACAAAAAGTATCTCACATACACAATACCAGACAATTCCACCTGTACAATTATGTTACATGGCTGCTTAATATACATTCTCCATTCATTTACAATCAGACACTAAATAACCAACCAACAGATTTATAATACAGAAGTTCTCAATTTCTCTGATAGATAAGAAATGTAAAAACTAAATTCACATTTAGGCAAATCTAGGTTATAAGCAACAGTATTATTTATTGTTAATTTAAATATTTTATTTAACATAATTTAAAGAACTTTTGTCCATCCAACTGTTACAACCCTGAGTGCCTGCACTCGTTCCTAAGAAATCAATTGTCACAATGCGTTATTTTGTTAGCAGGTTAAAATTTAGATGGATAGTGACTTCAATCTGAACAGGTCGAGTAAATGCTTTTCCATTTATGTTTTCTTTTGAATTTCACCTATATGAATTATGCAGCTCTACAAATAATTTGATTAATTAAGGATCCAGTTTGGATTTTCACAGGATGAACATATAAACACACAAATCCACAAATTAATCGGCCTTGTGAGGTCAGTCTGCTGCTGTTATTCTGAAATTATCGACCCAAACACATTTAAATAAGAAACCCCAAATATATACAAATTCAAAAGTCTTTCACAAGTGATAATCATGAGCATTCACTGATGACAAAGACAGGAATAGGATCACATTCATTTCTTCAGAGCAAATTAAGTGACTCAAAAAGCTGAATGTAACATTTCTGTGTCATTTGCATCAAATGTGCATCAGCCGGTGCATTAAATGTACAATTTACATTCAATACCAAGGGTGATAGTAATTAAAGGCCTGTATTCAGCATGAACAAACACATTGTATGCTCCATTTCATCAGTATGTAATAACAGCATTGAAATGACATTTGGGGAGTGAAATAAGAATGACTGAGAATCTTCTACAGTGTCGTTCATTCTCATTAACATACATGAATAAGTTCTGTGCCAAACTACAGTAGCAAAACTGATTGTGTCTCTTTGTTCATGCACAATAGATCACAAATAACACAACAAACACACTGACAGATGCCATTTTTTTCCCAAAACGAAATTACTGGTTCACATGTATATGATTAAGTTAAAACAAATGTGGCATAGATTGTGCTTCACCATCACAGTAGTAGTGTGTAATATGCAACAACCATAAAACCTTTAGAAATACAGATATGACATTCAAAGCAAACTTTACCAAACCGTTGTTACCAGCATAAAAAACCCAGGAGGATCCAGGAAGGAAGTGAGAGGTGCTTTTTCGATTCTCTGGTGTCCAAGTGAAGCAGATTTATATCCACTGGGGACGTCACATCAGTTCCCCCAGACAGCACTGGCTAGAAGAACAAAGTCACAACTGAAGACCACAGATTGAAAAGCGGTAGAGAGAGGCACAGAGATCATGTTTTGGAAACAAGCTTAGGCAGAGTCGAGAAGAAATCCAAGATGGCTGGAAGGATACGAAGCACACAGGCAGACAGACAGACAAGCAGAAAGACGTCACTGGATTGACTGGCCGCAAAGTGCACAAAAAGCCTGCAGTCAGATTGCACCTTGTTGGTGTTGGCACTATCAAGTGTGGTCCAGAGGTGTCAGGAATGGCTCCTGAGATTGCCAAGCCAGAGAAAGAGAGAGAAGAAAGCAGGTAATCAGTAGGCAGTGGGTTGTAGCCCTAATAGAAAATGGGCTCCAGAGACAGAGTGTCTTACGGGCAGCAGGGGTTGTCGATAACCAGCATGACGTCGATGCCGTAGATTTCCAGCAGGTCGACGAGAAAGCCGCGGTCGGCCTGAGGATCCAGCCCCATGGCTCTCACGTGCTCGGCAGTCAGGGTAGGATCAGCGCTCGCCGCCAACTCAGACAGGGTCTGGAAGATTCTGTTGTTCTGTTCCATGAAGAACCTGGATCACAAACAGAGGCAGATTCCATACTGATTAATTACAGCAACATACAGTAAGTGTCATTTTTCCATTGGCTTTCACGAGAAAAAGGTCAAAATAAAAGTAAACATATGTCAGAAAAACTGTGCTTCCACAGCTTTAGATTTATATTATATTAGAGTAGACACTCAAGAAATAGTTGCTTGATGTATAAATAAGGCTTTTTACATACTAAATGCAAAGCATAACAATGCAATTTACATGTGCAAATTTATATGGCATTTACATCAAATGTACTAGCATTCAAAAACTCTGGGGTCAATAAAGGGTTTTTTTTCAGCAAGGATGCATTAAATTATTTGAAATTAACAGTTAAGTTTATAATGTTACAAAAGATTTCTATTTAATTGCTCTTCTTTTGGACTTTCATGGTTTTCTCCAAAATATTAAGCAGCACAACTGTTTGTTTTAGAAATTTATCCTGAGCACCAAATCAGCATAATAGAATGATTTCCGAAAATTCAGCTTTGCAATCACAGGAATAATTATATATATATATATATATATATATTAAAATAGAAACATTTATTTTAAATTTTACAATATTGCTGTTTTTACTGCATTTTTGGGTCAAATAAATGCAGCCTTGGTGAGCATCAAAGACTTATTTCAAAAAACAGTGTAGAAAGAGAAATGTATTTAATCAAACTATCCAAAATTCAAAGTATAAAAATATAGTATTGGATTTATCATATTCCAAACAATACTATATATACGTATGGTTTCATTAAGCTTAAACTATTTTTATAGAAAGTGTATTGAGTTGTTCCATTTACAAACACTTTCCGTCTCACTAAAAACTGCTGATGTGATAAACTGACGTGTGTAATTCCATCACGTACAAAATGAAGAGTTCTTCCTCATTAGATGTGCAGTCTCCATCCACCTCCTGAGAGTACAGCAGCATCTGCCTGCAACGACAGCAACATCAGCATATGCCTGTGGAATTATGTTTTCATGTGTTTTTTTCCACCTCATATGCCTTTCAGATTTTAAAAGGCAGGTGTACCTCTGCTCGCAGAGCTTGCGATACTTCTCTCGGTCCGCACTGTTGAGTCTAAGCAGAGGCTGGAGGCTCTCTCTGTGTGTCTTTACATTCTGATTATCAATGTAGACATCATACAGCTCCTTCTTTTCCTCAAAGATCTTCTCTGTAGTACCTGAGAACCCAAATAAAAATCAAAAAAAAATCAAAAATGCAATTCACTCCACTGATTTATTCTTACTGATACTACGTTACAGTACATTATTCTTTCTCAAATTTATCAACTAATACAGATGTTGGAGGAAAAGATTCTTTTTTTTTTTAAGGATCAACCAAGAACTACACTCATTCTGAACTTAAATATTATTTAACATCTACTGTTTACAATGGTTAAACCATTTTGTGTCTGTGGAATTATGAATTTTGCCAACTTCAGTCCTTGAGTCCACTGAGAGACTTACAGGCCACATAAGACAGCTCAGCCTCAAGAGCAGTGATGTCAGCAACGTTGATGTAAAAGAAGGGGCGGAACTCCGGAACAGTCAAGCCCATCCCAGGAATAGACACATTAGCAAGGCAGCAGCAACAGTATACTAATGGATGCAAAACAACACATAGCAAAATAATCATGAGTTAAATGTGAAAACACCCAGAATTATATAATAAAAGTTACAGCTTAAAATAAATGCACAAATCATTAGCTATGTTTCCATTCATGCTTTATAAATGACTAGCACTTTATTTTATGTGATATCCCAAAATTTTCACATAAAAACAGGTGGATGGAAACATAGCTAATGACAATGCCAAGACATTGGCAAGTGCATGTTGATAATCTATAAAATTGGATTCTCAAGTTATTCTAGGGGTGTGTTCACACTTGTAGTTCGGTTCGCTTGGTTCGTTTGGTCCGGACCAAAAAAAAAAAACATTTAGTCCTGTTCCGCTAATTGTTCACATTGGCATTTTAACACCAAACCTAAAGATACCGAACCTAAAGGCATAGAGATATTATGTTAACGACTTTTATTATATATTTCGCATCAGAACCAACCGAACATCCAAAACAATGCTGTGTGCTGGGCTAAATCCGCTAGTTGTAAGTACGTAGCCTACATATGATGGTATTTTGACCATCTGAGAACTCATGAAGAGCTTATAAAATGTGTAAAGGAGTCAAAACAGCGGCCAGAATCCCTCCGTCACACACACAAACAAAGATCTGCTGCACAGTGCGCACCAGGGTTCGTTTTAATTTAACCAAACATGCCAAGTGTGAACATACCCTTAATTTGTTATGGAAAATAAGTAGAAATGTTAGCCATGCCCATGTGTCAATGTGCATGTTAATGGGTTTCCTCTCTCACCTCGATAGCAGACCACACCGACAGGGGGAGGAGAGAAAATGAGGATGCGTTTCCTGAGCAAAGCAAACTTCCACAGCACCATGATCTGCTCTCCAAAGAAGCGGATGAACTGGGACATGCAGCCAGCCGGGTGTGTAATCTAATCCAAGGTGTACAGAGAAAGTGACAAAATGAGTTGCTTCAGATTTCTTATTAAATGACTCCACATATACAGACACACCACACATATTAAAAAGGTCCTTTAAGTTTATAAAAAAATATATATGACAAATTTTAGATCATAGAGAAAATTATGAATGAAAAAAAGAATTATTCATAGCCATAGACCTTAGTCAGGGTAGCAGCATTTATTATTTGACAGGAATGAAAACGAGGCTGTGCGGGATAGAATCACAGTGTGTTCAACGGACCGTACAGTTGTTACCAATCATACCAATCGTCCAGCCGACAAAACTTGCTTCCGAAAGAAAAAAAGAAAATCAGTAGACAAAAACTCCATAACACAGTTCTGAAAGTTGTGAGTTATGAAAATCACGTGATCTAGGACCTTTATTCAGTGCACGCCACTGTAAAGACTGTCCCTCACAGCCTTGTTTTCATCTATTAAATTCAATATGGCGTCTACCCTGACTAAGGTCTATTCAGACAATAATTATGGCCATTTAGCTGATTATTCAATCTAGTATCATCTTTAAAATCCTCTGACAGGCTTGTCAGTGCAATTATTCAAAGTTCAATTTTCATATTTTGTGAACTTATTTTTTATTTTTATATATATATATATATATATATATATATATATATATATATATAGAATTGTATGTACTTTTTGTGTACTTCATTCTTGATATCATTACATTTTATTATTTACCGGCAATTTTATGTAACTATAAAAACCATAAACATTTAGAATGTGCATATTCAAGACTGAACAAGGCCATAGACAATGAGGCCATAGGCCATAGACATAACAATATAACCAAATCTAGTTCTGAGCTGAAGTATACATCAGCATATTTATCTCCTCATGTGGAATTCTTCTTTAACAATAGAGGATCTTGCGGTTTTTACACAGGCAAATTTGTCTCACAATAGTTATTTTTTTACTCCACGAAACTGAACTCTCCCATGCTTATGCTGCTGTCAGGATGTGCAGAAGTAATGCACTCTGATTAATCAGTAACATGAAATTCCCCGAGTGGCCTGGCCTAGATTTCTTTAGAAACTAAAAAATAACTTCAAAAAAAAAAAATCTAATTATCTAAAGCTACTATCATAAAAAAAATATTTAATGAAGAGATCTTTAAAAAAGCAGAAGCTTTGATTAGTGGCAGACAATATTGGGTTATATCTTCAAACCTTCATCTCTGGATGCATGCAGCGGTTGACTATGGGTCCAAGAGCGCTGGTCGGGCAGGCTGTGACCAAACCGTTCCCTCCTGGGGGCAACACTGCCTTTTTATCCTCGTAGAAAGCTTCCAGTGGAGAGTACTGGCCTGGACACTGCAACTGGTGCCTGTAAGAATGCATTTGCAGAATTAAAGCTAGTCTAGGCAATGTTTCTCATAAACACTTTTTGTTATACTGGTTGAAACTCTCTTCACATCCTGATAGTAATCAATAATTTATTAATTCATAAACCAATTCAGTCATATCTGACTCTTGGTGATTCTATGGGCCATACGCGATTTAAATTTAAAGTCATTAAAACAATAATAATAATAAAATTAAGTTTATGGTTCTCTGATGTCAGTTAATGGTCACATGATATACAGGTAAACAAATAAAATATTTGTATGTTTTTTAGTAAGTGTTTTATTTAGATTGTTTTTATTTTAAAATGATTCATTTTAATTTTACACTCTTATGATTGAATTACTTAATAGCTTTTCATTAAACTCAGAAACCCGTGCAGTTCCATCATGAACCCCAGTCTGGGAAAACCTGACATAATGTAATATTTAATGCACTTCATGTTGTTGATAACAAAGAATGGAATACATTTTCTTTCTCTTTGTATTTTTATATTAATATGGTACAAGATTATCCTTCTCAAATCAATGTGATAAACAAAGTTAGGTCAAAAGTAATCTAAAAGTAATCAAAGTAGTCAGATTACATTGTCTTAAATATGTTATGTAATGGATTACGTTACTAACTACAATTTTTGTCATGTAATTTGGAATCAGTAACCGACTATATTTTATAAGTAACCTACTCAGCACTGCACCCACACCTACAGACAATTTTAGAGTCTCCAATTCACCTATACTGCATGTTTTTTGGATTGTGGGGGAAACTGAAGTGCCCAGAGGAAACCCACGCAGACACAGGACAGGAAGAACATGCAAACTCCAAACAAAAAGGCTTTCTGGCTCAGTCGGGACTCAAACCGGGGACCTCCATGCTGTGAGGCGACAGAGCTACCCTGAGCCACTGTGCCGCCCTCAGCAATTAATAATAGAATAATAGAAAAATGAACATATCTTATATGGAAGACTCAGGACCAAAAAATCTGAATGCAATGACAGGATGTCCTACCTGCGCCTGTCAACCTATGTATTTGCATACCTTCACGCAGATATCACATCATCATCACATGCAACTCAGAGCTTATGTTTAATGCATAACAACATCTTAAAATAGTAATGATGCGTGCAAAAGAGTAAGAGGAGGAAACAAAACAAGGTAAAACGTGATGCAAGAATACACTCACCGGACTTGGTTTTCCAGGAAGTGCATGTAACGGTATAGCAGTGTGTAAGAAGGAGACAAAATCCCTACAGATTTCATCCGAGCTCCTCGTTCCAGCTCACTTTCCACAGGCATGTTGGCAAAGCATGCTAGTCCAAAGTAACAGCCTTTACGGAAATATCTACAAAAAGAGACAAGCACATTTAATCTGGATTAATCTACATACATGGCTATGTGCACAAATTAACCTGTTTGAATGCAAGTATGAAAATACTACTGATCAAACAGTTTGCCTCATGATTACAAATTATCTTGATGAATGTGACAGACACATTACAAAGCAAAATAATTGGTCAAATCTTATGTAACAGAATGAGAGAGAACAACAACACACAAGAACAACACAAAATTCACTTTTTTATGGCCAATATTTGGATTCAAAACATTTATTCCATTTCTAGGTTGTTGGTTGAAATGTAACATGAATAACAAATAGATCCCATAAAGGATGTAATGTGAGGTCCAGGGCAAATGTAACACTAGATATGAAATAGAAATTGCATGACTAAATTTAACCTGAATTTCATGTATTTCAGTAAAAAAAAAATATTACAAAAGTAAGTAAGTCCTACTTAAACTTTGTTTAAATTGTGCAGAACATTATTGAAGTGTGTCTTACTAATTTTACCACAGTTAAATCAAATGTTTATTATAGGAAGGTAGTTTTGCAGTTATTAGTTATGTGTTATGTACGAAAAGTTTAAAAATGTTACAATTGCCCTCGGCCCCTTATAAATACAATGAAATTTAAGAAAGAGATTCCTACATGAAGTCACTTGAGATCCGATGAGAGCCGCTGGCCATTGACTTGAACTCTACTCCCTCCAGATTCACATCTTGAGGTAGGCACCATTCTATCATGTTCCCTGTAAAAGACACAATGTGGGCCTATGTAAACAATTGTGAAGCTGTTGGACTAGGTTTTAGTCAAATAGTGTTTGCAGAAGAACACAAAAACTCTCCAAATGCCTTTCTCTGCTAAACTTAGAAGCAAAAAAGGAAGTTGGATAAGAACAGTACAGTAGTCTGCCGGATGACTTATACAACTCTCACTTCATATTCTATTCATTTTCTTACTAGTGATAACACAAAACCTCGCATATGGGAATATTGAGGATGCCTCTGTCACAAACACACAAGGTGTTATTGCACACTTCTATAATAAACAAGTTTTCAGTTTCTGAATTAAAAGCTATTTTTGATATGATTTGTGTAGCTTACAGTAAAAAATAAGTGGTGTAAAGATAAGGAAGGAATGTAGGGATATGTAGTTCAGCTTTCATTATTAACAGACAGCAGAGACTAAAAAAAAGAATAATATAATAAAAATATATTGTTTATATTAAAACTTTCCAAAACACTAACATACAGGAAGCCGATTTTGTTGTCATATGACAATAAAATAACAGTTTTATTTTTTGCAGAAAAGTTATTGTTATTAAATTAAAATAATATTTGTTTTTTTAAATTGCAATAGGCTATACATTTCTAAGAACTTTTTTTATTAGAAATTATTATAAGAACTAGATATTTTAAAGATTTCTCCTCTTCGTCATCATCATCATCTCAGACATTCTTATTTGTGACTCCCACATACATTTTTTTTTTTTCTCTCAGTCAGTTATTTTACAGTACCGGTATTTGTTGATTAACCTCACCCGATCTGGTGTCGAAAGTCACAACAAACACAGCAACAATCTGATCTTTTTCCTCCCATCCAGACCCAGTGATCCTCCGATCCCTGACCGACAGCCCATGAAAGGCGCAGTCTCCCTCTTCATCGGTGGCAGAAGCATCTCCTCCCGGGCCGCGGTGTTTATAGGGAGAGTGTGCACTTTCACCTGGAACAGCTGTTACACTATTCGGTCTCGCTGGGCTTCTGTTTAGGGAGATATCTACCCCTACACTGCCCTCGGTCGGGTAACTCGATAGACCGGATTGTATTGAATCCCCAGTCTCCGGTGATGGAACCGATGGGGCAAGTTCGGCCGGGGGAACCTCCTCCCAGTCCAGCAGCGGGGCGCGATCCGACTGCTCGACCATAGCGTTTTTCGATATCGACTATCGAAGAAATAAACAACGTCGTCGCACTCGGTACAGAGCGGTCAGTCGGAGAGACCAACGCCACGCAAAAAACGGAACATAGCGCTTGCAATACAGACAATCCTTAAATGTAGTAATACAGACAGGGTAACAGACGCTACCCAGGCGTACACTGTTTTGATGATGTCACACACTTCCGCTCACGTGGTGCAAAAGGGTTCTCGTTATCAACCTCGTCCTCCCACCCGAAAAATAAATACACCGAATTATGTTGTCTGTGTGCGCAGTCCCCTAAAATAAATATGTTGACGACTTCTAACGACCATAATTAGCTTTCCTTAACAGTCAGAAATCATGTTTTGTTAACCACACACATTTAACTTTTTTAAATGTTTTCTATAAATAATGTTTTCTGAAAGTGTCGATATTTGTGTAGTCTATAGTGCTTTAAGCATATGAAGGCACGGACATTTGAATAAAGAAATACTTGTGATTAGGCTACTTATTCTGTTATTCATTTCACACACAAACGTACGTCGTCGGCTTCCTATTTGGATCATAACAAATCTTTTCGGGGAACAGATATACAACAGATTCGAGTTTGTTCATGTGTGAAGTGCCGATCGGTTCAAGTCAAACACACCTACTGAATGAATCTAAACGCTTGATACTAGTTAGCAGAGTTAATTAATAGTCGAGTCACTCCGCCCATAGTTAAAGGACCTCGTTAACTTTGACGCGCCAAGTTCAAGCGTGGTCGCCCGTGAGCTCATTTCAGGGTAAGTTGGAACTGCATTTATGTTCAAAACTGCATAATAACGCCATGGAAGCGACTGTGAAAGAAGAATCTGTAAATATTTAGCTTTACTCACAATAAATCATCTTTTGAGGCCTAGCGAGACTGCTCTCATAGCATCAAATAACGACTGATTATGTTTGTCAGTCATTTCTTTACCTCAAATACATAGTGTGTAAACAAAACTTCAGCAGATCTCAATTGCTATAATTAATTTTAATAAACCCATATACACCATATAAGTTGTTTTATTGGCCATCTGTCACCCCAACCTGTTGTTGGTATTGCATTGACCAACCCATATTGGCTGACCACTAATTTACAGTATGGTAGTTGCCATTCTAAACCCCTTTAGAATAAATCAGTGTTTTTTTCTTCCTGATTGTAGTGGTCTGAAATGGCATCTGTGAATGCAGCACAGCAGCACCTGAACTTCTCCAGCAGTGGGGAGGAGGACAGCAGTGACAATAGCTTTGATGAATGGGCACACAGAAGTGTTTCGATCAGAAGCCCTTGTCGGACGCCCCGGATACAGCGCCACCGCACCAGGAGCATCACTGTTTCCCCTTCCATCCCTACTTCTCCCTTACTGTATGCTGCCTGGAAAAAACTCCGGCTTTGCGACTCGCCCAGTACACCAAAGGTAATCTTACAGCTCTACAGTTTCATGTGAACTTTGATGCAATGACAGTCTACGTTATACTTTTGTATGAGCAATACATATACAGTTGACCGTATATAGACTTTTATTTACATCATCCAACTTCCTCCACTTACAGAGTTTGCTGTCTAAATCGACCCTCCCTTGCTCTAGCAGCAAGCCGTGTCGCAGTCAAAGTTTCCTTCGTCTGCCTAGTGCTTTTGACCATGTGCCCTCAGTGAACGTTAACCCTTTCACACCAGACACGGTGCGCAGGAACAGTGAACACCACAAGAGGAAGAGTCAAAGGAGTGATGATTATGAGGATGATGCACAAAGGTAACACAGCACTTGCATATAAGCAATGCCCATTGAGGAACTGGATTTACATTGAAGTACCTTTATTTCAACAGATCTATGGACACTCAGAACTCATCAGAGGATGAAAGTTTCTTCCTCCCCTCAAAGGTACAGTTTCAAAGACCATAGTTCATCCTTGTCTTTTATGTAGTAGGTTTATAATACTTCATAATCCTGCCGGAAGCTTTGGTAAATCTGTGTTCTCTCACATGGTCTCCCATCTGTTGGCCTTCAGAGGCCAGCAGTGTCATCCCGCATGCTGTCACGTTACGAGAGTGAGTTTCTGGAGCTGGGCTGTATCGGCAGGGGCGAGTTTGGTTCTGTGTATCGATGTGTGAAGAGGCTGGATGGTTGCATGTACGCCATCAAGCGCTCGCGCAGGCCAATTGCAGGCTCTGCCAATGAGTGAGTCAGCACTGCCACAGTGCTTAATAATCTTCTTTTTCCAAATGGACCCTTTTAACATTTCCGGGGTTCCCCCGAAGCTGAAGTCATCATAGTTGGGTGAACTTGTAATGGTGACCCGGAGACGACAGCAAATATAATTTGTGTATTCCCATTTGCTCCAATAGCCAATGAAAAAAGCCATGGTAGTGTTTCCATGACTTTGCAAAAGAGGGGAAAAAAATATACTCTTAAAAATTAAGGTTATTTTTTGGCATCAATGGTTCCATGAAGAACTTTTAACATCCATAGAACCTTTCCATTGCTTGAAAGGTTCTTTAAAGTGGAAAAAGGTTCTTCACATTGACAATTTTGTTTAAAAAAGGTTCACTGAAAGGTTCTTTGGAGAACCAAAAATGGTTCTTCTATGGCATCGCTTTGAATAGCTCCTTTTGGAAAACTTTAAGAGTGTAGAGAAATGGCTTACAGCAGTCAGAAGAGAGAATGTCAAATTTGCTGTCATTCCCTCAGCCATCATATTAGAAAAATCTTTGCAGCAGTGTTAATTTATTTTTTGTAATTTACTGCCAAGGTAATATAACACCTATTATAGCATTCTAAATGTTATTATTATCATTTATTTATTTTTAAATGAAAAAATTTACTAGATTTGCGATGTTGATAATTGTGGAAACGTGTCATCATAGTCTGTGACAAGGGTCCATTTTAAAATCTCCTATTTGTATCCATGAACTTAAATGTCCTAATTGAACTAAGGCCTCATCCTGGTTTAATCTAAGGCCTGTGTGTAGTAAGGTTAAGATTTTTGTGATTCCTTGATGAATCTTAGACCTTATTAATGTAAAACAAGTTCCTTTTTTTTTCAGACAGTTGGCCTTAAAGGAAGTGTATGCCCATGCGGTGTTGGGCCATCACCCTCATGTTGTCCGATACTACTCTGCATGGGCTGAAGATGACCACATGATTATACAAAATGAGTACTGTGATGGTAGGACAGAAGATCACAATACAACATACTGTAGATGGCTATGTGTTTGTGTATTGGTGTTGGGACTTTTTTTTTGGAGAACTAACTCTCAATGTTTTTTTGGTCTTGTAGGTGGTAGCCTCCATGATGCTATAACTGAAAAGGAGGAGCAAGTGGAGTATTTCAGAGTTCCTGAGCTAAGGGATCTGCTCCTACAGGTCTCCATGGGGGTCAAATACATCCACAGTTCAGGCCTAGTGCACCTCGACATCAAACCCAGTGAGCTCTGTCTCTTTCATTGTTTTTCACATGCCTCTACCACTTAATGAGAAATTTGACTTTTGACTGGCACATGCTTAAATTTTCATCCTTTCCAGGTAATATTTTCATCTGCCGTCGACCCAGCTTGAGTGCTGGTGGAGAGGGAGATAGTGAAGAAGAGGATGAAAGCCCTTCCTCTGGGGTTGTATATAAAATTGGTATCTTCTTAAAGTGTTTTCCCTATTATTATTATTATTATTATTATTATTATTACACATTCAGGTTTTTAGTGATCCGGAAGGTTTATCTAACACGGATGGATCTCTAAATTCCCCCAATAATAGTATAAAATAAATGTCCTGAAATAATTAGTTTACCGAAACCTAAATTAAATCTTTAATTTAGCTGAAAACGTAACTTAATTTGGATAACTGAGCTTGTTATGCTGTTCAGGGTGATGGATTAAAGGGGTCATCAGATGCAAAATTTTTACTTTTATATAGTGTTTGCATATAAATGTGTCTTTGCAGTGTGTGGACAACCACCATACAATGAAAAAAAAAATCCATTCACTCCTTTTTTTTTCTTCTTTTTTTTTTATCCTCTAAGTCTAAACACTCTCAATAATCAAGACGTTTGGATTTTCTGAGCAATATGATGTCATATTGCTCATGCTCTGCCCACGACCACTGACAGACTGCCGCGTATTCGCATATTTCCTCCCTCGGCCATTTGTATACTGTCCACCAAGGCAGGTTGCCAAGGCAGCACTTTATGTGTCTTGTGTCGACATGCCCCATGGAAGAGAGGGGTGGGGTAAGCAGTTGCTCATTATCATGTAAAGAGACATGCACCGAAACGGGTCGCTGTGAACCGAGCTGTTTTTGAGGTAAAAAGGATGTTGTTTTACACAACCATTGAGGAACGTATGTTTAAACTTTACATGAGACCCTAAAGAATCATACCAACTTGTGGAAAATGAGCATCCGATGACCCCTTTAAACTAATCCTAGTAAAGTTCTTCAGCAACAAGCTGCCTTATGGTAAAGTCTGTCCAGCTGTCCATACAGCATACATATTTACCTGTTGAGGCTTATCCATGTTGTGCACACAAAATAGTCGCTGACAGTCAAACCAAGCCTTTTTTTGACCTTTATATATCATTAATAGCTGATATCATGGGTCCCTTGTTCTTTAGGTGACTTGGGTCATGTTACATCCATCTCAAGCCCTCAGGTAGAGGAAGGGGATAGCCGTTTCCTGGCCTATGAGATCCTGCGAGAGGTACAATATCTGTTTTAGCTTTCTCAGGGTGTTTAGTTTGCTGCAGAGCAGTGCACCGATCTTATAAACAATGACTGACAAAACAATATAATTGTGGATGTGACCAACTGTTGGCTTTTTTTTTTTTTTTTTTTTTTTTTTTTGCTGGCTGTATTTTTTTTTTTGTTTGCAGGACTACACGCATCTTCCTAAAGCAGATATTTTTGCGCTGGGCCTGACAGTGTTATTAGCTGCTGGAGCTCCACCACTTCCTCAGAATGGAGACAACTGGCATAGCCTCAGACAGGGTGAGATGCCCAGCCTGCCCCAGGAGTTACCAGCACCCTTTAAAGACCTTTTAAAGGTATGTTTGAGTAAGCACATCTGAGTGATTCATTGCATTCACTGTAATGGTTTCGACAAAGCAAGTTAAGTTTCCCAAAATTATCAGTTTTCTACTTCCTCGACCTCAGAGACTATTTTAGTAAGACTTAGCATTTTAGTAAGATTTAAGATTTTAGCATTTTAGTAAGACTCGGGTGATCCTCCTAGAAGAGATGTATGAATCCATTGTAAACCATTACAAAAAAACTTCAAAACCACCAGTTTATTCGTGAGAATTCTTCAGAATGGCAGAGGCCTGAACTGAAACTAAAAGTATCAGCATTCAGGGGAGTCTAATTCCATTTAAATTACCATGGTGTGTATTCATCATATTCAATTAGTCATGGGTGGTTAAAAAAAAAAAAGCATGTACTTTTATTCCACCAGCAGAGGGCATAGAAATGCTGAGCAATGTAGTTTCGGTTCAGTCCTCTGCAATTCTGAAGAATTATAATAAATGTGCTGGTGGCTTTAAAGTTTTGTTTACCATGGATTCATACATTTAGTCTCTGAGGTCAAAATTAAAAACCTAATATGGACAATACATTTGTTTTTGATAGACTATGTTAGATCCTGATCCTACTACAAGGCCATCTGCATCTGCGTTGTGTCGGCATGATGCACTGCGCAAGGAGAGAGCTGGCAAACTGGCTGCACAGCTTCGCAAGGAGCTAAATGTGGAGAAGTTCAGAACGGCTATGCTGGAAAGGTGAGTAATCTGGCATATACTATACTCTAGTACTCTATTTCATAAGGAAGCACTACTTAAAGGGATACTCCACCGTTTTTTCATATTAAACTATGTTATTCTCTTATCTAAGACGAGTTGATACATACCTCTCTCGTCTCAGTGCGTGCACTGAATCGCTCTGTCGGGCGGAGAACTTTGAGAGCAGTTAGCTTAGCCCCATTCATTGTATATGGGCCAAACAGAGATGAAGTTAGAAGCGACCAAACACATCCACGTTTTCTCTATTTAAATATAGTTACACGAGTAGTTACACGACCAAGTATGGTGACATTAAATAAAATGTGGCGCTTTTTATAAGCGGGTAAAATGGATAACTATAATGTATGGCGGAATAGCACTTATTGGGAGCACTTCGACTCGGCGCTGTAATATCTTCACTCGTGAAAAGTCCTCTCCCCCTCTCCCTCTCCCTCTCCTTGATACTTCGTCAACTCTGCACAAAAAACTACTACTACTGCAGGCGTGCAGGTCACGTTGATATTGACGTTGATAAATGACAGGGAGAGGGAGAGGGGGGAGAGGACTTTTCACGAGTGAAGATATTACAGCGCCGAGTCGAAGTGCTCCCAATAAGTGCTATTCCGCCATACATTATAGTTATCCATTTTACCCGCTTATAAAAAGCGCCACATTTTATTTAATGTCACCATACTTGGTCGTGTAACTACTCGTGTAACTATATTTAAATAGAGAAAACGTGGATGTGTTTGGTCGCTTCTAACTTCATCTCTGTTTGGCCCATATACAATGAATGGGGCTAAGCTAACTGCTCTCAAAGTTCTCCGCCCGACAGAGCGATTCAGTGCACGCACTGAGACGAGAGAGGTATGTATCAACTCGTCTTAGATAAGAGAATAACATAGTTTAATATGAAAAAACGGTGGAGTATCCCTTTAAGGAAGTAGTTCCTATTTCATAAGGAAGCAAGTATTGTTTACTTCCTTGAAATAATCACTTATGCTGAGGTATTTATTGCAACGCCTTTTATTTCTACTTAGAGAACTCAAGGAAGCCCGACTGGCTGCTACCTCACCCCAGCAGTCATCCCAACCAGGGTCTCTTCCGAGAGCTGGGAGGAAGCTTGTGGGTAGAAATGCACCCCGGTCAATGAGCTTTGGTTTCCCCGGATACTAGCACTGAATCATGTACCGTCTGAACATGCCTACAAACTGTATTTCTGGAATGCAACAGTCAGACACTTTTGCATTACTCAGCATGTCATCGTAAAAGTAGGACTTCAGATCCTGTTTTTGTCTTGAACTTGACTCGTCAAAGACGAACACTGCCACTGCTGTTTTATGTGGTGCATGTATCGGCACATATTTAAGGTTGCTGTTGAATGACAAATTTATCTTGTCAAATAACCATTTCATTTTAATTGTAAATAAAGTTTTAAAATGTTTTTTTCTGAGTGATTGCTGATTGATGTACCTTCAACTCTATCTGCTATGGTTGATTCAGCAACATCACACTTCACAAGAAAAAGACGGCAAAACAATTAAATGTCCACCAGGTATGCATTTTAGTAAGACTCGGGTTATCCTCCTAGAAGAGATGTCCTAGTACAGTGGTTCTCAAACAGGGGGCACCAGTATGTCTTTAAATGTGTCATATTAGCATATTTAAAAGATGTACAGCTTAAATCTGACACATTTTTTTAGTTTATTACAAGGGGGGAAATAGGAGGGGTTTGAAAATTGTCTGTCTCGTTTTAGTCCATTGTGCACGTGGTGTACTAATATTAAGTTTGTCAATTGTCAGCCAACTCCTCAGAATTCCTTATCTGGCAAGTGCAGTCTAGCAGAAGGGGAAATTCGTTTCCAAAAACCCCTTTCTCCTAAAGTGCAGGTCAGGTCTTTCAAGAGACTTTAAAGTCGGTTTATCTTTGCCTTCTCGGCGATTATGTAAAAAAAATGTCACATCTTATTTTAATGCCTTAATTTTTAACAAACAGCGAGAATATCTAATATGTTTTCAGACGGGAAATTCCGTACCGGCAGACTTTGGCCACGCCCTCGTACGTGACGCGTCACTGATACAAACGAACAACAAGGCTTGAAGATTCTCATTTCTCTCAGCACGTTTGAGTTTGTTTGTTTTTTCGGAGATGATGCCTCACCGTCCGGTATTTTGACTGAAAGTTTACGTAAGTAACGAATGTTTCTTCTTTCACTCAAAATAAAATACGCTCGACACGATTTTGAACATTTGCGTCAAAGATTATTTGTCATATAGTAAGTTAAGTTATAAAATTAGTACACCCAGGTACTTTTGCTACGAAATCGTAGCCTTTTCACGGTTTGTGTCGATAATGTCACGACACTTTATGCAGTTTCTTTAAATATAAACATCCATTCACGTGTCTAACGTTAACTTACTCTAGTTTATCTAACGTTAACTTACCTAGATAGACCAATACGCTTCCCTCAGTATGATTCAACTTTCGTGTTAGTGCAGAACTGCACGTGATTTATGTTCAGAAATGTGCTGCATCTGGTTGGTATTTTTATTTTTAACTGCATTAATCATTGAGCTTTTGTGTGGTCCTTTTTAGAGATGAATTTCGACTTAAGTCTGTCTTTGTTTTGATCTGAAAATCATTTCTTCTGAAACTGATCTTCGGCACAAAATGGGGGAATCAGCCAAACGCACTGTTTACAATTAAATTTGTATTCTAAACTTCATTAAGACTTAGAAAATTAGCCCTTATCAATAATAGACCGAATAATGTTAGCTAGCCGCTAACTGTTTTCAGCTGCTTGCTAGTTAACGTTATCTAACATAACTTAGTAGTTTGAGCTTGGATATTTCATCATCTTATTACAAGCTAACCGTCGTCACAACCATGAACTAACGTTACATGTTTGCGTTTATTTAGCTTTTATATATCATGTTTTATTTTATATACAGTTATATAATATATTATAATACACAGGTGTTCATGTAGCTTAAAGAATGGAGCATGGCATTATCAACGCCCAAGGTCATGGGTTAGATTCCCCGGGAATGCATGAACTGAAAATGTATAAACCTTAAATGCAATAGCTTTGGGTTAGAGTCTGTCAAACGCACAAAGAAGTACTGTCATAAAGACTTTGTAAAACTTCATAACGTTCTCTGTTATTTACTTTATTTTTATATTGTTTTAACAAATGTGAATGTCAGGTTTAGTTCACTTCTGGGTACAATTTTTTTCCCTAGACCATATATATATATATATATATATATATATATATATATATATATATATATATATATATATATATATGGTAAAATATTATGCATTTAAATTATATATTTATCAGACTGTATAGTTTTGAAAATCATTACCGTGTCTTTTTTTTTTTTTTTTTGTCATGATATCTGGTGAAATATTAAATAAATTTAAATGATATACTGATCAGGGTTTATATAGTCTTGAAAATCATTTCCGTGTCTTGTTTTTGTCAAGATAACGAAACTAACTGCTTTTGTGTTTTTTTCTTTTAATTGCAGAGCACCTGTATGAGGCATAACACAGGTTTGTGCAATGGACCGCAACAGAAAAATTGACAATTTTCCGCACTGTTCCCTGCTGCTCCTTTCCTTTTTTGAGCAAAAAGGCTGCCAAAATAGTGAGCTTAAAAGAGAACTTGATGATTTGGATCTTTCCGATCACAATTATATTGAAAGTGATGGCGATTTACAAACCGATGGACATAGTTCCTCAGTCACCTACAGAGATCTTTTACATGAACTTCAGAATCAAGTTCAGCCTCAACTGCCAGGTATTTTTTATTTTCTCTTATCTTATTTGTACTGTTCTGATTACCTTAATTGATACCAGTAAGCCAATGATTATTTTAATGTTATGGTTATGGCTGATATCTATGGAAGCTTGTTTCCACCATGAAATAAAAAAAAGGTAATTGCGACTTACGATTGTGATTTTTTTTTTTTTTTTTTTTTTTGCAATTGCAAGTTTATACCTCTTTAACTCACAATTCTGACTTTATATCTCTCAGTTCTGACTTTTTTCTCACAATATCGAGTTTACATTTCTCAATACAGATTTTTCTCTCAGAAAAAGTCAGAATTGCGAGATGTAAACTCGGGATTGTGAGGAGAAAGCTATAAAAAGTTTTTATTTTTTATTCAGTGGTAGGAACGAGTTTATATAGATAACTGATAAATAGACGATATTTTATCTGATGAAAATATAACACAAAAATGTTTTTCTCAAATCATGATATTGTTAATATGTAATATTCTGAGGTGGGGCCTCCATTAGAGAAAAGTAGGCTACTTCAATTAATAGTGCTACATCTTTGCCGTAATCTGGCATTATCTGGTTAAATTACAGCTATTTGATATGAGAAATTGTCAAATTGGAAAAGAGTGCCCACAATTATATAGTCCAAAAATCTAATCAGTATCAGTCAATTTTGCATATTTAATTTGCATCCCTAACTTTTAGTTATATTAAAACTACTGTATAATGTTTGCTGTTGTCCATGTCAGTTAACACGGCTCTTATGTATCTCCATCTCAGTTGATGCTGAACAGGCTCAGGCAGCAAGGGAAATGGCTGCAGAGCTGATCAGAATTGCAGACCTTCTTGAGCAGAGAGTCCTGTTCCAAGCCGCTGAAACTTTGACCAAGAAACTGGACAGTTGTGACACTCAGGTAAGATAAATGATTCTGAGCAGTTTTATTCTAATAAATTTACACTAATGGTTCCTCCTTAACCCATTAGTATCATTTAACACTCATATCTCACAATATTCTTTAAACATTTGCAGTTATGGTCCAGACATCTATCTGATGGAGTGCAGGGCTTACTTCACCAGGTGGCCGGAGCCAAAGAGTTTAAGAAGGAACTTGTCGAGATGGCCTTGACTTTTGTGCTCATGAAGACTGTGTGTGAGCGTGTGCCCTGCTTTTTGTTCAGACTTTATGGCACTGTGGTGCAGTATTTCGGACCTCGCTGATCCCTGATGAGATCTGTGTACCAGTTATAAATTTGTAAGAGATATGTGAATATGTTTGTAAAAATAAAAGATACGTTTGAAAGCTTTTGCCTACAGGAAAGAGAAAGTTGGGTCATGGTTGGTCAAGTCTTGGTCATGGTCAGGTCTGAAACCTTTTTTTTTTTTTTTTTTTTACCATTGTTACAAGTTTACTTTTTTCTTTTCTTTTTTTCATTACTGTTTTAATACTGTGTGAAACAAGTAATTTTATTTTTGCATTTTGGTCATGTTAAGTTTTACGATTAGGCATTAGACTGTTTCTTTAACTGCCGTGGAAAAATTTCCAGAAAATAAACCCTTAATTCCCAGAAAATTGTATATTAAACCAAATTAGAGAAAAATGTGCATCATTCATATCTCCTCTGCTAACTTTGTTTAAAAATGCATTATTGTCACTCAGCCTGTACGGGATATCACATGATCTCTCATTCTTTTCATGTACAACAAGCCTGAGTCATATCAGTACAAAATAGAGGAACCAAACTTAGTTTCTGCTTACGTCTTTTTTGTTATTTTAATTTAGGCAGTGTTTCATTATAATCAAATTCATGCTTAAATTAGGACACAAAACACCAGGTTCACCCTTGATTGAAGTTTTATTTCACAGCTTTTGTCCATCTATGATACAAAAAACCTCACTTGCAAAAAAAAAATAGCACTGTTTTCTCTGACGTGAGGTTTCCAACCAATGACACGACAGGTGGATCCTGCCTGTAGATTTAACATCTGCTTATGTTTTTTATTGTTTTGACAAAGGTCTCTATTGGATAGGCACACAACAGGGAAACGGGGGTGACGAGGCTGTGCCGTGAAGGCCTTTTGAGCTTTTAAGGATCAAACAACAGCAAGAGATACAGACAAGGTGTAAATCAGAGGCTGAAGACAGACATTACTTTGTGTGAGGAGACAAAGAAAAACAGTGAAGGACTGATTTGTGTGGCTCAGTAGACATTTAAGAGACATTCTGGTCCCCCAACCCTGAAGTCAGCTCTTGATTTAAGCAACAGACAGTTAAATTTAGAGTAGACAATGTTTTTCATAATCACTTTTTGTTATACAAGTTTAAGCAATTTTCACATCCTGATAGCAATCAATAATAGAAGTAGTCTAAATATTTAAAAAATATACATATATCTTCTGTGGAAGTCTCGGGACCAAAAAATGTTCGTCCAATCATTGCATTCGGTTCCTTATTCAATAATAGGATGTCCTATCTGCCTGTCAATGTTGCATGACTTCGTGCACCCTGCTCGCGCAGACATCACACGTCAGCGCATTTCATGAGGCCATGCAGAGTTGTAGACAGTCACGAAGTGCTACAAACAAACAACAGCCACCTTTTACAGTTCCTCCTGAACTAAACCAAGCTAATGCTGCATTCACACCATAACTACTGTAATTAAGAGATGGCAACCCATTGCGGTTTGTTCAATGAAATTATGCATTGCTATGGCAATAATATCAATGCTGAAATGAATCTACAGCAGTCAGGTGGTACAACTAGAGCTCTATAAGTTGTTTACGTTCATTATTATTGTAATGTTATGTGCTTTGAGACATGAGGTAATTTAATACCGTTTCTCGTGACACTTTGCAGACTCTGCTCTAACAGTGCGTGTTCATGTGCTTTGGAGGAGGTGTGGCTTTGGAGACGCTCTGAAAGGAGGGTGTGTTCTTATGATTTCAAAGCTAGCTCGCTATTGCTAGCCTCTCCAAAATCGCCTACCCTACCTTTAATGTTGTCTAACACAGCAAATCACTTTTTACTCCAGAATTACAAAATCCATTTGGATGTTTCTGGAACATGTTGGTTTAATATTAAACCACCTGTTTAATGTTTCATCATACATAATATTTCAAAACTTCACAAAAAGATTTTATTGAAATAGTTCCTGACCCAGAATTAGGGACATTTAATTACAAAAATGCATGCTTGGAAACATCATATTATAAAACTAAATATGACTTTCCAAACATGATCTTCCGATTCCTGTTTCTGAGATAAATTCGGTCAACTGTGCCCTGTTGCCATGGCACTATTGACTGTGCTGGTGTAGTATTTTCACATGAGCCCTAAACAAAGATGTTTTTGTTCCTTAAGGAACAATTGTTCACATTTTAGCAAATTGTTGTACATTTATTGATCAATCCCTTAAATAAAATGTAATGGACAAAGTGAAGGTGTTTCCCATTTCAGGCTGTGACCTAGGCTTCTAATTTTAGATTTAAAAGGGGGAATTCAAACAAAAGCATTCATGCAAGCATAATCAGGCCCAATTTATTCAAATTTACACTAAATATGGTTGATATGAATGTCCGAATGATGTGTAAAGGAATCAAGGATACGAAGACTTTGCTTTTGATTATTGTGAGTAATCTTGTTCAAATATTGATATATTTAAGGAGAGTATCACACAATCCATCTAAAGGGCATGGCCCATAAAAAGTTTTGCGTTTTAATCTTTTATGTCTACTAAGGTAAATTCATAATCATGCACTAGCACAAGCTACTGCTTTAAAATCAAACTTAAGTTCATTAAATCATATACATTTATATTATGTATACATATATTAGAATAAACATGTATATATATTAAAATAAAAATGCTTAACCAACAAAAATGAACTTCCTATGGATCTGAAGCCTTGATTTTTCTTTCGTTAATATTAAGGAACCAGGCAAAACCTAGGTCACAGCCTAGTGAACGGATCACTCCCATGTTCACAAGTAAAGCACAAAAGAAACCTGAATTTACACCTGCAAGTTCCCGTCCAGACATAAAGCTGATTTAAAGAACCAAGCCAACAAAATAAAGCAAGGAGAACAGAAAACAAAATGGTGTGACAGATATCAGAGGAGTACTTTTACCATAAAGTATAGCTTGTGGCGGCACGGTGACCCACAGGGCTCCATTAGGGCAAGAGATACAGTGAGGTCATGGACATTCACAGACTTTCTACTTCTTCCTGTAGGCCAGCGCTCCAAAGGCCAATACTGCAGCAATGGCCACCAGGGCAGCACCGCTGTATAGCAGCACAGGGAGGTCAGAGGACTCGGGTTGTGGCTCTGTCTTTGTCTGCACCTCAGGAGGGTCTGGGACAGAGAAGTCGTAGGCCGGGGATGAGGCCTTCAGCTCAACCTCTGGAAGTATCACTTGCTCCAGGGTTGCTTCTGGTTCTAGATCCGGTGGGGATGATGACTGTGGCTCCACAGGAGCTGGAACAGGCTGAGATTGAAGCTCAGGCTCAGGCACGGGCAACGAGGCGGTAGAAGCAGCATGGGTGGCTTGGTGCTCTTGCTCTATTGAGGCTGGAGGTGGAGGGATCTCCATCACGATCGGTTCCACAATCGGCTCCGGTGCGGGTGGAGCCGGCTCTGCATTCGATGCCTCTTCTCGGACAGCGGCGAGTTCGCTCTCGCTGCCCAGCACGCTAAGTACGCTACTCTGCAACTCCCCTTCCTCCACCGTCTCTCCACCTTCTTCAAGCAGTTCAGCGTCTTCACGTTCCACATGGACAATGTCAGAGTTTGAGGAATTGTTCTCGCTTTGCTCTTCGGCTAACGCCACTCCCTCAGCGCTGTCCAGACTCTTGGCGTCTTCTGGGTCCATCATGCCGATCTGCGCCCAAGACTCGTGTCCTGTCAGAGACACAGGAAGACTCTCTGTCTGCCAGGAAGCCGGCCCACTACTATCTCCAGGAGTCAGTAGTGAAGCAGGAGGGCTTAGCTGATCCGAGGCCTGTTCACCTGACAGGATGTAAATATCGTTACTGTCCTCAGCTATGATCACACCCGGGTCCTCCCCTTCATCCAGGCTGAACACAGTGCCCTGTAATGTAAAGAGAGGAAATATCAATCAGTTGGTTCATTAGTCGGTTTTTTTTTTTATTCCAAACATCAGAAAACCTCTATACTGATATAGTGTTTATAGAAAATTTTGTATACATATACAGTACCATGGTCTGTCGAAATACTCGATACTGATTGGCTGGAAGGTGTGCAATAAAACAGTTTAATGCACAGGTAGTCGCCGTTTAATCCCTGTTCTATATTAATGAGCTCGTTTATTGAAACACACACACACACATCACTCAAAGACAGAGATCGGAAATGGCGCTGTGCACGAAAGGAATACAATTTAGGAGGACATAAACTTGTTGCCAGCGCTGCCCTACAAATTAACATAGCTTTGCAACTAAATCGCTACATTACATTTCTCAGCAACGAAGCGGTAATGTTGCGGTTTTTAAATTTTCTGAAACCCACAGCTTCACTATTAGTAAAGAGACACTGCCCAGTCGCAAGTAATTCACACACATCTCTCTCTCTCGATAATTAATTTAAATAAATGTTATCTTACCGCAGTACTTTATCTCTATGTATGATTTCAGAGCGGGAAGAATGCTAGATCTAAAAAGCCATAATTGACGAAAATCATTTTACAATCATTTTAACCCTTCTGGTCAAATATTGCACAGCAAACATAAATAATATCTTTAACTTTTCAGTGTTGGCAAATGACCATGGTATAAGCAGGATAATCCACCTCTAGCTGTGCATTAAACGATTTGAATGCACTCAGCGGAGGCAAAGAGCTGCCTGACGTGAAGCGAATATACATTATATATATATATATATACACACACACACACACACGTATACATGTGTATCCATATACACACATAAAATAGAAGCCTTTTTTATCAAGATAAGCTTCTAAGCAAACACTGAGTCATAATACATGCTTTACATGTCTTTTACAAACTGTGGTTAAAGCAATGTACGCATTTCCTGACGTCATTACCCAAGCCACAGAAAGATTGAAAAACAAATGCATAATGTTTGGTTTTTAACTGCATTTCCTTAAGCCTGATCATGTCTGCAAACCACTGATTAGTGTGGCTCATCCACACATCATAAACTTCACAAAGAAATGAGGTACACAGCCTTGGTGAGCATAAGAGACCTCTATCAAAACCCCCAAAAAATTACATAAACACAATGGTAGTCTAGCTTGTTAAAATACATTGCAGTCCCTTTTAGCACAGTAAGTGGAATTTACCATGACATGGGAGCATTTTTCATTCATTTCATATGCCACCCAGTGGAGTGTGAGAGTATTACATATATAATAATAAATACTCTTCATTCATGGTTTTAATAAACAAAATCAGCTTTAAAAAGACTTTACATAACTAGAGATATGGTAAGTCAGGTCAAAAACATGGGGGGGAAGTGCCATCACCTTTAAAAATAAAAACATTTACAATAAGGAAAGAACTCTACATGAAGTGTGTTATCCCACTCTCCTCTTTTTCAGCCTGTATTCACTGCACTGTTAGTTCTTTCTATTTACAGTAATGTCTTTATCTTATTCTGCCATCAGACAATGACATCACCTAACGGCTGTGGTGTCTGTCTGCATATGCCGCTGGTTTCTGCGTGTCTACCACAACTAGGTCAAGCATGCAAAAACGAATCAATTTGAATTTGAACTCATTGTCTGTAAATACATCAGTTTCTGCTCATTTGCATTAAGCAAATTGGAGATATTGGCCCTCACTTTATTCATCATAAAGGACACTCTTCTGCTTGCTGTGCCCTTTTTAGGCCTTTTCAGTAATCAACCACTGTGCACTTGCATCTAGTTTCACATGTAATCCTGCCTCACACAGATGCTTTCAAAAACACATTACCGGTAGATCCCAGCATCTGGCTTAACATCTGATGGCCAACAGAGAGAGGACCACAGCACAATATTATTATTATGAAGAATTTTTCATATAGATAACCATCATAGGTCTCCACAACCCTATAAATGAAACAGTCATTTATACTGTTAATGTTTCCAAAGAAAACAGCTGACCTTGATGTACTTTAATAACCATACATGCAGACAGGGGATCTATTTTCTATAGTCAGCATGGTAAACAACAAACAACAGGATATGTCAGTGAATAAAAAAGGTTTAGGGTTGATAAGATTTTTTTGGAAGTCTTTTATGCTCACCAAGGCCTCATCAAATTGATCAAAAATACAGCAAAAAGCTGTATTACAGCTAGTAGTATTATTATAACAATTTATATATTTCAATATACTTTAAAATGTAATTTATTCCTGTGATGCAAAGCTGAATTTTCAGCATCATTACTCCAGTCTTCAGTGTCACATGATCCTTCAGAAATCATTCTAATATGCTGTTTTGATGCACAAGAAAGATTTTATATTATCAATTTTGTAAACAGGTAATCTGCCTAATATTTTTGCAGAAACCATGATGCATTTATTTGAAATTAATGAAAGTAATGTCTTTACTGCTACTTTTGCTCAATGTAATGTAACAAAAACAGCATGCACAAAGTCTGATTTGACAATAGTTTTTTGAAATGGTGGAGTAAGACAGATGTTTTCTGCAAGATTAGGCTTGCTGTCCTATCCAGAGACTGTATTAAAATGAAGTTATGTTGTTATAAGGCGTTTCCTCTTAGGTGAGCCATAGGTGCATGTACCCACCTTTGCCTAAAGAAAAAACTCACGCATGCCTGCCAAACTCAAATGCTTTCACGTTCATATGAGGGCACAATATTAAAAATAAGGTGGTATGCATAAAACTGATCTAGTGCTTAGCCATTTAGTAATTTAGTACTACAATGCTACTAAAGTATGAGAACTAATGTGCCTACTAAACATACACTACCGTTTAAAAGTTTGTGGTCAGTAAGATTTTTTTTTATGTTTTTGAAAAAAGTCTCTCATGGTCTCCAAGGTTGCATTCATTTGATCAGTAATACAGTCCGACAGTAAAATTGAATTATTATTACAATTTTAAATAATATTTTAATATATTGTAAAACAATTTATTCCTGTAATGCCAAAGCTGAATATTCAGCATAATTACTCCAGTCTTCAGAGTCACACGATCCTTCAGAAATCATTATAATGTGCTGATTTGCTGCTCAAGAAACATTTCTTATTATTATCAATGTTAAAAACAAGATGTGCAGAGTAATATTTTTGTGGAAACTGGAAACTGTGAAACATTCCTCATAGGCTTGCCCCATAGTGGGCTACATTTCTCCTCAAAACATCTGAACACATCCTAAATGTATATATTGTTTAAGTAAATCCAAACCGACTTTGGATTACCTAAGGTGAAAGATTTTTCTCCCAGAGTATGTCAAGCATACAGGTCACCATCTCGACTAGCACAGGGAGTAGTTTTGAGGCAGTCAAACTGGGACAGCCCTGCTCAAGCAGATTTTATATGAGGATTTATCAGATTTATTTCTGTTCTTCATCTAGACCGTGTGGGGGTGGCGTATAGCCAGTGTTTGTGTGATGAGAGCAGCACATCGTCTGTAAAATGCAGTTATGTAAGAGGTCGGACTGAGCGATTCGCAGGGTGATGCGACCTGACGTGGATCAAGCTCTACTCTCCGCACTTACTGATATACGGACAGGGTGCTCTGGCAGCGGTTTGTCTGTACCACACAACCGGAGTCAAGTTACGTCACATCATGCCATCTCAAGAATCTTTGCTGGGCAATGTGACAGACCCACTGAAGGTCACCTCTGTGTTGCGTACATTACAGACAGAGGGACAGGAAGGGATTCATGGGCAGGGGTTACTCACAAGACAAAATGTCTCACACGTCCCTCATATCGGGTATCTGTTACTCCTTTGGTGGGGTGTATTGAACAGTTTCCTAGACCTTGACCTAGAGTTTATCATGATCAGACCAGACGGCATGATTCGGTGAAACAAGTCATTGACTAATGCACTGTTTTAGTTCTCAAAATGGCTTCTTGCTGCTTTGCCCTGGGTTTTGCAGAACAGACACACACACACATAGGGCATCCATGATTTATGGGACTTTCCATAGACATTATTTTTATACTGTACAAACTGCATATGCTATCCTGTAACCCTAACCATCACAGAAAATGTTCTGCATTTTTACATTTCCAAAAACATCACCTAGTATGATTTATACACCGTTTTCCTCACAAGGACCAAAAATGTCCCCACAAAGACACAAAGAGGATTTTGCCATCTTTGTGTGAAGATTTTGTCCCCATAACGTAGGGTTTACCTGAACCACACACACGCAGAGAGATGTCATTTCTCATTTACGTCACTGGGTTTGAATCTCATTCATGAAAGAATTTTCTGCATAAATCATCCATCAAAACAATTTGTACATGAATTGTCGTAGTGAACTGATGTAATCATTTACATAAGAGCAAACGATATACAAAGAAATGTATTCTCGTGCGTCACGATTAAGGCCCATTTTGTTGTTTTGTAATACTATAATAATTATTGTGCTTCTGCAAATGTGCAAAAAATGTAATCAAATTCATCCAAAAGAAGAATTGAGTAAACAAAGTTACTCCAGCTGCAGTCGTTTCTACACTAAAACAAGTTAAATGTTAAATTCAAAATTTACTGACTGACCCATTTAATGGAGAGAACTAAATGCAGAATTAAACCTGAGTGTCCTTGCTAAGATAAAGTGCTTGCAAAGTGATGGAGAGCAAGATGGTGGACAAAAAGACCTAAATCGCTAAAAATTGTTTCGTAAATGGACCATGAAAGTATAATCTCATCTGGTCCAGAGCTCAAGAAGAAATCAGCTGTCCTACCTGCCTGTGTTCAGCTCCTAAGTGCGCAGAACTCCAGCAGTGACCACAAGGAAATAAAGTGAATGAGTGCCGGAGAGAACGTATACACAGAATAAAAGGTTGCTGTCAGAGTAATGGGGCTGGAAGTGCCGAGAAGGAGGTCTGGTTTATTTGCACACGGATTCTCCTCCTACTTGTCCGACT